AGTGTCCATTTCTTTATGTATCCTTTGATATAGAAGCCACAAGAATGGCTTTAGCAGCTTATTTTAACCTTATGAATTATACATTCAGGATTTTTTAAATGATTCAGATGCTTTCGATCTGTTAACAGTATTTGTAAAACATGTTTCAGTGATACAACATAGGTGAACTAAACCAAAGATGCAAATGCCTTGGAGGAAAAGAAGTTTTATTATAGAGAATCCTGAGATATATCCTTTGGGGTTGTTTAATTTAAAGCCTATCACAAAACAAAGAGAATTGTCGCACTTTAATTCCAACCTCCTACAGTACTTCACAACCCTTAGCATAAGAATCTGAAATTTGTAATAGGTGGTACCTAGTTTGATGCAGTGTTTGCAGTGGTTGTGCAAATGCCTCGTGAAACGGGTTTTCAGTCAGACTAAATGAGAAAATCCAAACTGTCCTATCAAAACTGGCCCGCAATAACTGTAATGTGAGGAGAAACAAAGCAAATGTGGGTTTCCTATTGTCGTTGTAAGACATTCTAGGTTCTCAGATTGAAGAGCTACATTCAGCTGATAGTTGACGTCCGTTCCCTCACACATACTGGCTCTCAACACGGCTGCACTTTGGAATCACCTGAGGACCTTTCAGAATCTCTGGTTGAATCATCCTGGCTGTTCATGATTCCAATGTGCAGCTAGGCTGGAGAACCGCTACAAGGCTGATAACTGTAATGGGAGTTTGTAACTTTTACAAAATAATAGATATTTATAATCTTTTGCAATTTTTACTTTTAAATCTATACTAAAATGAGCCAAAGAAGTCTTAACAATGATTTATGGCACAATTGGTTGGTTGAGGCTATCGTTCCATGATTCACAAATAGGTGGTTATGTGGGGTGGTTTTGCACTTGTGGCAATTGGACTACAATTTGGCCTTAAAATTACAGAATTCCTGGTTCTCAGATGGAGAGGAATTGCCTTGAAATTTGCATGTACCAGACTAAGTGCCCAGTATATATGACTGATATTTTCGTGACTCATAGAAGATGTCTGTGGTATAGAGTTTATGCCTACATCTCTATCTTTATTTGGGGCACACATGAGCTTTTGTTAATTATTTCTTACTCGTACTTGTTATAGAATCTGTTTTTGAAAGAAAAAAAAAGAAATTTTTGCTTTGACTTTGTGGTGGATTCACCTTCTTAAAATAATAAATCTAGAGGATATTAGGAACGACATTCACAACAAATATAGTTAGAGGTGATTTTTAAAAAATTTCTGTTCCTGGTTTCCAAATTACATTCACTTTGATTTGATTATATGTTGGTATCTTCCAAATATAGCTTAACTTAGCTATCTAGATGGTATCTTTGACATTTGAAAAGAATAAATACCTGTCAAATCTTGCATTTAGGCTGCAGTTGAATAAAATAAAAGCTTAGGGTGTCAAAAATAAGATAGAGAAATATTATAACATTTTATGATTATTCTTGAAGTCTTTGATACAAAAGGAAAATATGTTGAATAGTTCTTCCAAAAAATATTATTTCCCTCAATATTTTATTTGTAGCCATGTAACTTAAAGAGAACAGAAAATAACTGCAATCAAAAGCATGGTTTAATATCAATCAAAGTGGCACAACAGAATTGATAAGATCTTTATAACAATCAATTGGCTGATATTAAAATATTGATTTTAATTGATCTTTTCAATTAAAGTCTTTATGGTCTGTAACTCATAAAATCAGCATCCACCACAATATATGCTCATTATTGGTTTGTAAGCGTAGATCACCATTGACTCCCACCTGGAAAGACACGTCTATGTCTAAAAATCCAGTAGTTTCTTCACATTCTCAGTAGTACACATTGTATATGTATATGTATCAAATTTGGTAGTTTTCAATATGTGTGATATCCTTTGGGGGTTATTTATCTTGCTGGTCCATAGAAGGGGTATACTAGCCCAAGAATCAAGACATCTGAGTTGTAGTTCTAGCTCTGCCACTGAAGAGCCACCTTACCTGGGCCAAGTTGGCCAGTGTCTCAGTCATGTTTACCACCCATGAAAGGACTGGTTGGTTTGATGTTTCCATTAAGCTCAATGAGTAACTCGAATGGTTACTCTTGAATCTGGATTGGAAAACACTATGCATCTGATGAGATAATTCATAACTGTTTCCCTTTTTTAAATGATACAACCCTAAAAGTGACTGAATTGCCCAAATACTTGAACATGGTAGAGGTAGTTACTCTTATTTTACAGTCTGTGCACTTAAAAATTCCTACGGTGATTGTTACTTTACTGGGGAAAAAAGATGAGGTGAAACTTCCTCCCAAGGAATTAAAATATCTGTAGAAGCCATGGCTTGCTTTTACAATGTGGAAATCATTTGATTTGCTGTAATTCACGCAGATCCCTCCTTTTGTCAGGGGGAAATGATTTGCATCATGTTCTTTTTTCGTACTTCCTGTTTTGATCAGTTGTATGTAAACGTACATTTTTGTTACTTTGGCTGTGCCTGTTAGAATTTATCTTCCATAAAGTATTTCTCCCATTGAGTCTAATGATGTATACTTTGCCTAGGCGTTTCCAAAATTAAATTTATGTAAATGTCTATTTTATATAAAATATGATTAAAATAAGTATGTCTGGTTTCAATCTCTCAAGTACTTCATGGTTAGTACCTACTGATGTCCGTGTCACCAAGTGTGTCTGTTTTAACAATTTTTTTAAAAGGACCATCTTCCTTCCTTCTTTCATTCATTTACTCATTTCATTGCATTGTTCTGTGTGCTTCCTGTCGGCTCTCTTCCCCTTCCTCCACACAGTGCCAATTCAGTACTCGCCCACTCCAGATCCACTCCCCCATCATGCTTAGATGCTGTCACCTCTCTCTTCACAGAGTAAATAAAAGGTAGAAAGCAGATATCCCCCAGTGCCCTGCACTTCATCTATATATTTACCTGCACCTAATTCTATCCTTTCTTTTCTCCTGTTATCATAATGGAAGAGGAGAACCCTAGGTTCTGAATTTTGCCTCTTATGGAACTTCATTCCATTCCTTAACTTCTCCTTCATCTTTTAACTTCTTTCTTTTGCTGATTCTTGTCAAATTGTCAGTTCTTCTCTATCTTAAAGCACATACACAGGTAATCAATACCAAAACAATTTGAAAAAAAAAAATCCTTCTCTATTTCATGTTATCTGTAGCTGCTATCACATCGCCGTCTGTCCTTCACAGCCAAGCTTTTTGAATAGCAGATCACAGTTGTCCAATGCTAGTGAAGATGTCCAAATTCAAGACAGATTTGCCGTACATCACAAGTCACCACTTTCTGGGGGGTAGTCCAGCCCACTCCTCTCCTTGATATCCTTTCCTTTTCTGAAGTTATTTTAAACATAAAAAGAGGATTCTTCCATTTGGATGTTTTAATATAACTACAAACTCGATTTATTTTTAAACCATTACTTTATTAGAACATTTGAGTCTAAAACTAATGGCCTGACTTTTTTTTTTTTTTGAGATGGAATCTGACTCTTGTTGCCCAGGCTGGAGTGCAGTGGTACAATCTTGGCTCACTGCAACCTCCGCCTTCTAGGTTCAAGAGATTCTCATACCTCAGCCTCCCATTGCTGGGATTACAGGCATGTGCCACCACACCCAGCTAATTTTTTTTTTTTTAATTATTTCTAGTAGAGATAGAATTTCACCATGTTGGCCAGACTGGTCTCGAACTCTTGACTTCAGGTGATCCGCCTGCCTCAGCGTCCCAAAGTGCTGGGATTACAGGCATGAGCTACCGAACCTGGCCTATGGCCTGGCTATTAATGGTATATAATTCTTATTGAATGGCTCTTTTTCCACTTAATGGAAAGGCATTATTCTGTGAGGCCTGTAAGGGACTAAACCTTGGTGTATAACAATAGGGTCTCAGTTGAAGCTGTGGGTTTTGAACTCTGGAAAAAAAGGGAGTTGTCCTGTAACAGGAAATGAGACAGTGCCCCCACCGCATGGAGATTCCCAGGTTTGAAACAAAGAAACCACAGAATATGCTGCAAAGCTGTGTGCCATGGGCAGAAGAGTGAAAGGGGACAGCACCTGTGAGCCTCACGCAAGGGCTGGCCATGGTATGACCAGCAACTTGAATATTGCTGGCCTGACCATTCTTACACGGTACATGTTCACCTTCTAGTTCTTTCCGTTTTGTTTAGGAAAGACCTTTTGGTGGGTTTTATCTTACCTCTTGCTAAAAAGAAAGAGGGCTTTGGGTCCATGTGGGGGCTCTGAGCTTTTACTGGAGAATGGCGTGGCCCTGGAGCTGGCACGGTGGTTCAAATGGTCACCCCCATGTGATGACTATAGGGAGGAGAGTAGTGAAGGCCACTGTTCAGGCAGCCACTACACCTGGACATTCCCTGAACAGTACTGAAGCCTGGAGGTTCGATGTTTTATTTTCACAGAAGAGCTGCTTACCTTAAGAGCATGCTGGATACCCCTTACCCCCTAGACACCCACGCATGAAACCAACGAGTCATCTACTCAAACTGTCATCCGAGGTGTCTTTCCTTGAAATAAATACTCAAAGGAAAATAGTGCTACTCTCAAGAACAGCACAGGCCCATAGAACTATTGGTGATGACAGAATATTCTATATTTGTGCTGTTCAACATGGTAGCCACTAGGCAAGGTGGCTACTGAGCACTTGAAATGTATCTAGTGTGACTAAAGGACTGAATTTTTAACTAGATTTCCTGTTAATTGATTTTAATTTAAATAGCCACATATGGCTAATGTCTGCCACATTGGTCAGTGGAGCTCTAGAGCTTTTTAGTGTAGTGGAACTCGGGACATAAGAATCACAGGAACTAGCATTGACAACATGGTGAACTGCACCTCAAATACAAAAAATGAGCGGGCGTGGTGGCATGCTCCTGTAGTCCCAGCTACTTGAGAGGCAAAGATGGGAGAATCGCTTGAGCCCAGGAGGTTGAGGCTGCAGTGAACCAAGATTGCACCACTGCACTCCAGCCTGGGTGATATGGTGAGACCTTGTTTTAAAAAAACCAAAGCAAAAAAAATCACAGAAACCGCTTTCAGGTTCATGAAACAAGAAGGTTTGAGATGTATGTTTCAAGTTTGAGTTCCAGTCACATTTTAAAAAAAATTCTTTTTTTCTTTTCAGAGACAAGGTCTTGCTGTGTTGCCCAGAGTGGAGCACAGTGGCTTTTCATGGGTGAGATCTCACTACTGAACTGCAAGGGAGTTTGGAACTGCCCCATTTCTGACCTGGGCTAGTTCACCTTTCCTTAGGCAACCTGATGGTGCCCTGTTCCAGGAAGGTCGCCATATTAATACTGAACTTAGTGTGAACAGACTCCAGATTGGCATAGTGCCGTTCAACCCAGAACTGGGCTCAAGCCATCCTCCTGCTTCAGCCTCCTCAGTAGCTGGGACTATAGGCCACATGCCACAACGCCAGGCATCATTCACTTTTTTTAGGCTTTTCATCAAAAGGTGTCCATTTACCCTCTGTTCTCTCCTACAGTCACAGAGGTCATTGTACGCAGTAGATTGTCACCTGCTTGTACCTGTGCTTACATTATCTCCACCTTGACTGCCTTCTGTTTTCCTATCTACCTGTTAATCTCCCACCTGTCCCCCTTAGTTTATGTACCCTCCTACCTCAAGAAGCTTTTATTTCTATTTTACATGAAAGTAAAATAGAGCACTTGAAAGTAAAATCCTCCAACTGGCACTGGAGGACTGGTGGCCAGGTTATTTGATATATATATATATAGAATGTCCACTTAGCCTTGCCCTGATTTTCTGACAAAATGTAAGACCATTACAAATTCTGGCTTTATTTGTCTTCTAAATTCAGCCTTACAAAATAATGTTCATGGAAAACCGTGACATCTCACCAATAGATTAATTTTAATCATCTTAAATGATGGATTCTACAGCTTTTGGCCCATTCTGCTGAAATGGAGGACAGTACTGCCACCCAGAAAATGATGTCAGCTCGAGCCTGATCTTTCCTATTCACTCTTTGAAAACTCTAGAGGGTCAAGGGCTTCAACAAGCTTCTTAGAAGTGGCAGTATTGTACTAAGCTTCATGAGCCTCCGCCTTTCAGCAGTCCTGCCTGTGTTTCCTGTGGGGAACCAGCTTCATTGCCCCTGAGCTTGAACCGCATTCCCCAATCTGAGACAGAATTCGCAGGGCTAAGCGTTCCAGGCCACTGATTGGCTTGCTCCGGATCTGCTGGCAGGAACCTCTGCACACGTGTGAGCACCCCTGCCGCCCCTTGGGCCACCTCGCGCCAGTCTCTAAGGCTGGGTGGCGGGGCGCTGTGACAGCAGGGACGACCAGAGAGTGGCGGCAGCTCACAGTGATCAAATGATCGTGAAGAGGGACACCTGTGAACCCAGGTGCCACGGCAGGTGCTGCCCATAGGCGCCACGGGAGGGAATAAAGGGCGCTGCCCCGCTTTTCCCCCAGAGTTTTCGCAGCCTGCAGGGAGGGAGGACGTGCGAGGCCGAAGCGTGGAGGCTATGGGTGTGCTGGCCAGTGCTGGTTTGTTGCTATTGCTGGTCATCGGCCACCCCAGAAGCCTAGGTGAGCCCAGGGCCCTGGGCACCAGGACCGCGGAGGAGGCTGAGCCTGCTGGAGAGGGAAGATTTCATTACTCCTTGCCTCAGGAAGTCAGGGTGGTATCGCCACACCTGAGGCATTTGGGAAGAAAGGGTGGGGGATGGTGCATGCTCAGATGTCCCTAAAGGAAGGCCTGGGCCAGATTTCCTTTTTGAAATTTTTTGGATTCTAGAGTTCAAATTTGTAGGCACACCTGATAATCGTGTGTGTACTAAGGAGCCTCCTCCAAGGAAACCTAACCAAGTAAAAGTAACTTAAAGTCAAATATCTCCCTTCCAGAGTAGTATGTGTTATTCCCCAGTATCTTTGTTTTGTTTTGTTTGTTTGTTTGTTTGTTTGAGACAGGGTCTTGCTCTGTCGCCCAGGCTGGAGTGCAGTGGTGCGATCATGGCTCCCTTAATCTCCAGGGCTCATGTGATCCTCCTGCCTCTGCCTCTTAAGTAGATGGGACCACAGGTACGGGTCACCACACCTGGCTAATTTTTACATTTTTTTTTTTTTTGTAGAGATGGGGTCTTACGTTGCCCATGGTCCTGAACTCCTGGGTTCAAGTGATCAATCCATCTGGGCCTCCCAAAGTGCTGGGATTACAGGCGTGAGCCACTGCACGTGGCCCCTGGTATCTTTAACACAACCTAAATTTGCATCTTCCCAAAGTAAGCCCCAAGTCACGTACCAGAGGCAGCACTGGCTCCTTCCTGCCCAGTGGTAACACAGGCTGAAAGGGAGCAGACAGGAGGCAAATTCTGGTCAACCCAGGTGACTGTGGGATATTCTGAAGAAAATATTGAGAGAAGAATGCGATAGTCTGCAGCTAAGTGCTATCAGAACGTCTGTGCCAGGCCAGGAAAATCCAAACGGGAAATCTTGGTAAAGTGAACTCTTAAATAAGGCTCTGTGTGTCCACACACACACACGTGCTCTTCTACACAGGACTGAAGTGTGGAATTCGCATGGTCAACATGAAAAGTAAGGAACCTGCCGTGGGATCTAGATTCTTCTCTAGAATTAGTAGTTGGAGAAATTCAACAGTGGCTGGACATCCATGGCAGGTCAGTACAACAAAGGCATTGATTTCTTAATGAGAAAACGGTGAAATATTTCCTTTGTTTCAAAAGCAAGAATCCACGTTGATTTGTGGTTTTTCTCCTGACCCCCTCTAGCTCTCTACCAAAAAGTCTACTTCATAGGAACTATCTTACTATCCAATTTATGTCAGTATTTTAAGAATATTATGTCAGATTAGAAAAGTTGATCTCCAGTGTTTCGGATGGAGACACATCTGTGGGGAGACATAATAGCTGCGTTTGTAACTTTCTTCTCGGGCAGGTCTCCCTAAAATCACATGAGCACCACTTCTGCGGAGGAAGCTTGATTCAAGGAGATCGTGTTGTCACAGCAGCACACTGCCTGGACAGCCTCAGTGAGTAAGTTGTGGATTTCCATTACTTGTCAGGCCTTGATTCCTGGCTATGGGACTGGGAGATTTGTTGCTCTAAATAGCAGGTTCATTCTCAGTTCCTTTCTTAATTTTGCCTCCCAGTGCACCCACCCACTGATCTTCCTGATTCCCAGAAATGTGTGTCTGTCCCAAGATTTCCAGTGCTTCCTGTTCTACTGAATTAAACAATCCTAGACATCATCTATAATTTATGGATTTAGTGCTTGGGTAGAGGTGGTGGTTACTTACTGTAATAAAGCATTAACAAGAAATGTTAAATGGATGCTCCGAAGTTTTAATCAGCTGGGTTTAAATCATTAGGCGGGAAAAAGCTGCAGAAATTACATATATTTGACCAGATTAATAGAGGGTACTAATAAGAGAAAAGAAGGAACAGTTCTAGAAAGCAACTTTTATATCCTGTTACAAATGGCATAGCATGTATGAACTAAGGTTTGTATATCAAAGAAGTAAAGGAGGCAATATTTAATTACTTGACTCAGAAAAATGGAAACATGATGAAAACCATGACTTTTTCTAGATTTAAAAAAAATGACCATTGGTAACACTCAATAAATAAAGAAAACCTTCTTCAAAGACTCAGGGATGCTTAAAGGTGCATTAATCACTCTTCATTTAATTACATCAAACCAAGAAGACTTGTGTAGGGGAAACAACTATTTATGAAACATTTATCTTTGGTTTTAGGAAGCAACTGAAGAACATAATTGTGACTTCTGGGGAGTACAGCCTCTCTCAGAAGGATGAGCAAGAACAGAATATTCCTGTCTCAAAAATTATTACCCATCCTGAATACAACAGCCATGAATATATGAGTCCTAATATTGCACTGCTGTATCTAAAACACAAAGTCAAGTTTGGTGAGTACAGAGAGTTAGAATATTAAAAATGCAATGGAGGAAAACTGCTAATTATGTACAAGTTAACTTTAATGTCTGTGTGGCTGTCTAGTAATAGAATAGCTCAGCTTTGTTTCTTTTTAAAATAATTTTGCTCAGTCTATAACCTATTAAAAAAATACTGTATAAGCTACGTATCCCAGCCACAAATTATTTATGCTTAACCTAACAACCAACATTTTTTTCCCTTTCATTTATTTCTATTGATACATATTAGAAGTACATATTTTCAGGGTACATGTGATAATGTGATACATTCATATAATCAAATCAGGGTAATTAGGATATCTATGACCTTAAATATTTATCTTTTTGTATATGCTAGGAACGCTGGAATTATTTCTCTGATCTATCAAATATCAGGTGTATATTTGTATCCATTAATCAACCCCACTTCATCCTCCCCTCCTCCCTGCCCTTCCCTGCCTCTCATAACCACAGGTTTACTCTCTATCTTCATGAGATTCAGTATTTTAGCTCACACATGAGGGAGAATATGTGATATTTGTTTTTCTGTGCTTGGCTTATTTCACTTAATATCCATGTTCAGTTTCATCTGTGTTGTTACAAATGACAAGATTTCATTCTTTTTATGGCTGAATAATATTCCATTGTGTGTATATACTACATTTTCTTTTTCATTCATCCATTGATGAACAACTTAGGTTAAGTCCATATTTTGGCCAACTGGTATTTTAAGGACTCCTGTTTCTTGGCTGGGCTCCATTCTAACTACCTACCTATATTCATCTCTAACCAAAAAGCTTGGAACATTTGAAAATGTTTTCGGAGACTTCTTTCTGTCATTACTATGAACAAGATATACAACACTCTCTCAACACAGGTAATATAAACTTTCTGGGTAAAATACTAAAAGACCCCCTCCTTTTTTTAAAATGCAAGAAAAGGAAGTGTTATGCGGCCAAAAACAAAGCACAAATCCAGAGTAGTTAGTCAGGCCACTGCCCTTGAGAGATCAAATTGATCTTTAAGATCCTAGAGATTTACCTGGCCGTGAGAGGAATTGTAAAGAACCTGGAAATTTCTGAAAGGTGATGCTTTGAAAGATAGGGGGAGGGAGTTTTGCGTGTTATGCTACATAAAGTGAGGGAATAAGGGCACTTACTTGTCTCAACCTTGGCTCTGGACAGAGGGTTCTCAGAAGAATCTGTAATCATGAGCCAGGCCTCACTCAGGTTTGATGCTGGAATTGACATCACCTGTGTGGCACAAACACTCCAAGGCAAAATTTTAAAGTGGTTCCAGGTGAGTAATCAGCCTCTGGCAGAAGCAAAAATAAATCCTCTCTGAGAGAATGAAATTTAAATCCCAGCTTTAATATATTCCCATAAAGCTTTAATGAATTCGAGCACAGAAACGTGCAGAGAAATTTGCCATTGAAAATAGAGTCTGAAGCATTAACAATCAGAATCAGACCTTCAAACGTTACAAATTTCAAGATAGAGAATAGAAAATGAGTATATTAAGGTTTAAAGAAGTGAAAGTGTACTGAAAATGATTGAGCCAGAGGAAACTATTAGATGAAAGGGAAATTTGAAAATAAGCCAGTAAAATGTGAAAACATAAAAATGTAATTGGAATTAGAAACTCAATAGAATACTTATCTACCAGATTAGATTAGGTGTATGGAACTAGACAATCTGAAATAATTACCCAAAGGAGACAATGAGGGTAAGAGACAGAGAAGATAGAGTGTAATAAACATTCAATTTGAAGTTTATAAAGGGTATGGATATTGGTGGAGAGTGACTGTAATTTAAGAGAAAGTGGCTGAGGATTGGTCATAATAGATATCCAAATCTTTAGATTTAAAGAGCTTAGTAACTCCAACTATGATACAAAAAATAATTATATATCTAGACATGTGCAAAACTGTAGCACACTAAAGGAAAGGATCCCAAAAGAATCTAGAAGGAAAAAGACACATTACCAAAAATGGAATGTTATTGATTTCTCAACAGCAGTAAGTGAATGTCAGGAGATAGTAGATGATCAAAATACTGAGAATAACTCAAACCGTAAGTGTATATAAGAGGAAACTATGGCACCATCTTTTCTTTCCTTTATAGAAAACCTCTACTAAGAGCCATCTATGTTAGTTATATCAATTTCGTTTCCTCAATTCTCATAGCTGGATGTATTAGGTTAAGATGTCTGTTCCACATTTAAGTGGATCAGACTTTCACTCCACTGTTCCATAAATTTGGTCTTGTCACAGTCACTAATGACCTCTATGTTGCTAAATTCAAAGTAACTTCTCAATTCCCATATTTCTGGATAAGAGTTTTAGCAGAATTGCTCATATGTTCTTGGAAATATTTTCTTCACTTGAATTCTGGGAATCCGTTAGTTATTCTCCTACCCTATTGTACCCTTTCTTAGTCTTCTATGATGATTCTTCCTATTCTCCTTGACTTCATATTGTTGGAGTGCCCAGGCTCAACCCTGGACATCTTATTCACTAGTTGTGCTCATTCTCTTAGTGATCTCATCCAGGATCAATAATTTAAACATCTAAATCCAAAAAACTTTGGATTCATCCTTGATTCTTCCTTCTCTGACACTGTACATCCAATGAGTCAGAAAATCCTGTTGCTTCTTCCTCACTCACTTCACGCTTTTGCCATCTTGTTCCAGGCAATACTACCATCATTTCTTGCCTGGGTTAATTTTAATGGTCTCTGAAATTTACTCAAGCTGCTGCTTCTGTCTTCCTAATGTTTGTTATTAACCCAGTGACCAGAATGATACTTTTTAATAGGTAAATCAGATTATATCACCCTATTCAAACAACTTCAATGGTTCTCCATTACATTTAGATGAAAATCAATGTCATTATTATCTGACATACCCTCTTTCCTAGTCCTACATCTAACCTCTGATTTGTTTATTTTTTTATGAAACTTACTTAATCTGCTCCAGTCATCCTGGCCTCCCACTGTCCCCTAAACATGTATGCATGATCCTGCAGCAAGGAGTGTTTCTTCATCAAATGACTTCTACCCAGATAACTGCATGATTCCTTTCCTCAGCTTCAAGACTTTGCTCAGATGTCACCTGCTCAATGAGACTTTCCATGATCATCATATTTGAAATGACTCCTTCCATGCCATTCTCCCTAATCTCCAGACTAATCTCCTTTATCCTATTATTTTCCATAGCATTTATTTACCACTGAACAACGTATTATATTTGCTATTTGTTTCTTCTCCCTTCACCCAACACACAAACACAAATATACACACTCATGTAGGTTCTACCAAGACAGAAATATTTTTCTTTCTGTTCATTCATTGAGATCTAAAAGAGTGCTTGCCACATGATAATTTGATCATCTTGTTCTACTATCTTCTAACATTCACTTACTGCTGTTGAGAAGTCTATAACATTCCTTTTTTGGTAATATGTTTTTTTCCTTCTAGACTTTTTTGGGATCCATTCTTTGTTTGTAGTGTGCTACATTTTCAGCACATGTCTAGATATAAAATTATTTTTTGTATCATAGTTGGAGTTACTGAGCTTTTTGCTAAGGATTTGGATATCAATTGTGATCAATCCTCAGCCACTTTCTCTTAAATTTCAGGTCTCTCCCCACCATTATCCATATTTTTTCTAAATTTCCAGGTTCTTTACAGCTCCTCTTATGGCCAGGTAAATTTCTAGGATCTTAAAGATCAATTCAATCTCTCAAAGGCAGGGGCCTGGCTAATTCCTCTGGATTTGTGCTCAATAGCTGTCGAGTGAAAAACTATCCTTTCAAAACAAAGTCATAGTCTAAAATGTTAGTAGATTGGGGGGCTCATGGTGGTGTGCAGAACAATTGGCCTTATGTTTTTCCTTGTTTTACTTTTTCTGCATTTCTCTAAATTTCTATAAATACAAAACAGTTTTTTGGGGGGGGGGGCCAAAACTTAAAATATGTCACCATTACATTTAGGAAGAAAGTGTAGAAACCATAAAATCAATAGATTTCACTTTTCCAAATATATTCAACATGGTGTATTTATCCATGAACCTCATGCCTTTGTTGTTGTTTTCTCAGGAACTGCTGTTCAGCCAATCTGTCTTCCTGACAGTGATGATAAAGTTGAATCAGGAGTTATTTGCTTGTCCAGTGGATGGGGCAAGATTTCCAAGAGTAAGGGACATCAAAATGACTTAATACTTCTTCCAGATCTCTGTATGTCCAGGGGAAGCAGAAATAATTTTCTTGACCATGAGTTGTACATTTATCATTTTTTATCCCTAATTTCTGACACAACGAAGATTTCTGGTTATCCTCAGCATCAAAAGGCTTATACTTCTTAAAAGGCTATTCATATCACTCCTGCGTGCTGCCAATTTGGTTAGGTATGGCAGAAAAAGGAAGCTGGATAGAGCTGCGATAGATGAGGAGGTATAAGGCAAAAGGATGATCAGGAAATAGTAATAATAGTTAAGCTTCTTTGTCTTTAATATTGTGACTTTTTTAAAAAGTCAGACTCAGAAACAAAAAGTAGAAGAGTAAATACCACGGGTTTGAGAGTGAAAGAAAAGGGAAGATGTTGTTCAAAGGGTGTAAATGTGGAATTGTATGACACGTAAGTTCTGGAAATCCAATATACTGCATGGGAACTATAGTTAATATATTGAATACTTGAAATTTGCTAAGAGGGTAAATGTTAAGTATTCTCATTACAAAAAAGTTAACTCTGTGAGGTGATGTAATGTTAATCAGCATGATTGTGGTAATCATTTTACAATGTATACATATACTAAAACATCACTTTGTACTCCTTGAATAAATACAATTTTTATTTGTCAACCTCAAAGTTTGACAAAAATACATTGTGATTTTTTATTTTATAAAGAATTTTAGGCAGGGTGCAGTGACTCACGCCTGTAATTCTAGCACTTTGGAAGGCCAAGGCAGGAGGATGGGAGCCCAGCAGTTGAAGACCAACCTGGATAGCATAGGAAGACCTTGTCTACACACACACACACACACACACACACACAAATTAAAAATTAGCAAACCATGGTGGCATGCCTGTAGTCCCAGCTACTTGGGAAACTGAGGTGGGAGAATCACTTGCTCCCAGGAGGTTGAGGCTACAGTGAGCCTTGATTGTACCATTGCACTCCAGCCTGAGTGACAGAGGGACATCTTGTCTCAAAATAGAGATTGTTATAAAACATTTCTGTATTGACCAAAGTTTTCCTCTGTTGGGGAAACATTTAAGCATTTGTTTAGAGAAGCCACAATTGTACAATTGCCTATGTTACCTTGAAAATCTGCTGAATATTTTTAAAATGTCCTCTGCCATGTATCTGATGTTTAGAAGTGAATATGATTCACACCTAAAAACAATTTTACTTCTACATGTGGTTAAAAATCTGTTTGATTGGGAGGCCGAGACGGGCGGATCACGAGGTCAGGAGATTGAGACCATCCTGGCTAACACGGTGAAACCCCGTCTCTACTAAAAATACAAAAAACTAGCCGGGCGAGGTGGCGGGCGCCTGTAGTCCCAGTTACTCCAGAGGCTGAGGCAGGAAAATGGCGTAAACCCGGGAGGTGGAGCTTGCAGTGAGCTGAGATCCGGCCACTGCACTCCAGTCCGGGCTACAGAGCAAGACTCCGTCTCAAAAAAAAAAATACAAAACTAGCCGGCGAGGTATGGCTACTGCAGTCCCAGTTACCCATATACGACAGAAAATCATGCAAACCCCATGGCTGCTGCTCTACACCCACCCAACCTGCCCAGAGCAATGATTTCCGTCTCAAAAAAAAAAAAAAAAAAAAAAAAAAAAAAAAAAAAAAAAAAAAATTCTGTTTGAAATAGTTCTAAACTTGTAGACTTCTCATTAATTTGTTTCCATGAGGATATTGTGTACTAACTTATCTGTCCTCTCTCTGCAGCATCAGAATATTCAAATGTCCTACAAGAAATGGAACTTCCCATCATGGATGACAGAGCGTGTAATACTGTGCTCAAGAGCATGAACCTCCCTCCCCTGGGAAGGACCATGCTGTGTGCTGGCTTCCCTGATGCGGGAGTGAATGCCTGCCAGGTACAAAAGTGTAAACCAGCCTAGTTGTTTAGCAACATGTGGGTGAAAGTAGATTCTGCCTTTCTGCAAAAGAAGCTCCTGTTTCTTCTGTTACTGTGTCAAAATTCCTTTTCCCTTCATCTTTTCATCTGATTTCTACTGAAAAAGTGTACTTGACCTAAGCAGAAAGAATTATTTCCTGTCTCCACATCCATTCCTACTCCTACACTTCTCTTATTTTGGTGGGTTGGGGAAAGGGATTAGTTTGAACGTGTCCAACCTAATGGAATCAAGCAAGATGACCACTTTCACAATCTTATTAGGTCCAGCTATGAATTCTTCGTTTCACATATTAAGCATTGTGGATATTTTTTTCCTTTGGTGCAGAATATAGTTGCACAAAATTTGACCAAAGATACATAACTTTGGTCACAGTTGTGTAAGAGGTATTGGGAATGACCACAATCTCCCAAGACTGACACAACTTCACAATGAATACCAGTCTTCACAAGATATTTAGAGGGGACAAGAAGACCAATTTTTGAAACACAAGAGTTTTCAGTTTTAGATAGGTCTTCCAAGTAAATTATCTTCTCTTTTAAGGTAGAGCAGCAAGGAGTCATTATTCTTTGCCAAAAAGCAGCTTGAAAATGTTGAGGGAAGATCTCTGAAATTATCTGTCGGAAGGACTTTTGAGTTTTTCTTAGAGGCAATGACAGGAGTTTGGAAGGGAGGAGACTGAAACTTACACTTATGCCACTTTCTAAATTGGAAAACAGATAGGTTAAAGGTGCTTTTTGCTATCTGCATTCATTATAGGCAATCCTTTTTTGGATGAAACCCTCTACACCTTTTGAGAAGAGTTTAATCTGACACAAAGTTGTCTGAAACATAGTCTTAAAGCAGCATAGATTCTGGAATGTTATTGAAGATGCAATCCTAAAATCTTGGGTTCTTTATTCTGTAGGATAAGAGCCAGTGTGGTCCTTTACATATATCCCCAGAGATAAAATTAGGTTTCCCAGGTTTCCCTTTTTTTTTTTTTTTTTTTCCGAGACAGAATCTCACTCTGTTGCCCAGGCTGGAGTGTAATGGCACAATCTTGGCTCACTGCGACTATGCCTCCCAGGTTCAAGCGATTCTCCTGCCTTAGCCTCCTAAGTAGTTGGGATTATAGGCACCCGCCACCACGCCCAGCTAATTTTTTTTGTATTTTTAGTAGAGACAGGGTTTCACCATGTTGGTCAGGCTGGTCTTGAACTCGTGACCTCAGGTGATACACCATCTCTGCCTCCCAAAGTGCTGAGATTACAGGTGTGAACCGTGCGCCCGGCCCAGGCTTTCTGTTCTTAAAGCCTTGAGGCCTTGAACTATCTTGGGGGATCTATTCACTGATGCTCTATAGGACTGGAAGATGACCTAGTCTTTCCTGCAATTCCAGGTGACAAGCTATAGTAGAAGCATCTATCTATACTACCTCCCTTCCAACAATTTTTAGAATGTACATGGTGGTGAAAAAAAAAAAATGAAGAAAAAGTGTTAACCTGACAAGATTGCAGCCAATAGGTATAAAGAGATTTTATCTTGATTAAAAGATTGTGCCTTGAAACTAACGATAAGGACACAAGAAAATGGATAAACAAAAAGTTGATGGACGATGAGTAGTGGACTTCTTTGCCTCTACCTCTTTTCACTTTGTGATGAGTGCTGATGTTTGCAGAAATGATGAAATATTTTACACTGTGGCTATTTTCAAATTTTCTCTTTTTTTGTACCATGAAAGAGGGACTCTGGAGGACCACTGGTTTGTAGAAGAGGTGGTGGAATCTGGATTCTTGCTGGGATAACTTCCTGGGTAGTCGGTTGTGCTAGAGATTCAGCTCCTCTAAGAAATAACCATATGAAGGCATCACTTGTCATTTTCTCCAAAGTGTCTGAGTTGATGGATTTTATCACTCAGAACCTGTTCACAGGTAGGCGAATTCTTTTCTTCCTCATCTCATCCTAACTCAAGGGTAGTTACTCTGCTATGTTGCAATATTATCAGAACTAAGCTTTAGAACAAAGCAAGAATAAGGCTGGTTTTAAATTCTTAGTCCAATGTAGATACTTGTGTCTCTGAAACCCTGAGTATAGAAATCTGTCAATATAACTTGAACAAACCAAATCCCTGTATAAAATTTTCATGAGATGCGTTTTTGCATTTATGAGATTTTATTAACAGACCTTGAGAATAGACTCATTAAGGATTCTTTCTTCTTCTTCTTTTTTTTTTTTTTTTTTTTTTTAAGACGGAGTCTCGCTCTGTCGCCCAGGCTGGAGTGCAGTGGCCGGATCTCAGCTCAAGAGGCCGGATCTCAGCTCACTGCAAGCTCCGCCTCCCGGGTTTACGCCATTCTCCTGTCTCAGCCTCCCGAGTAGCTGGGACTACAGGCGCCCGCCACCTCGCCTGGCTAGTTTTTTGTATTTTTTAGTAGAGACGGGGTTTCACCGTGTTAGCCAGGATGGTCTCGATCTCCTGACCTCGTGATCCGCCCGTCTCGGCCTCCCAAAGTGCTGGGATTACAGGCTTGAGCCACCGCGCCCGGCCTCTTTCTTCATTTTTTCAGTTGGCACAGTTTTTCTCTGTACTACTTAAGAATACTAAAAATAAATCACTCATCTCCCACTTTGCCCGCTCAACCTTGTTAATTTACTTGGCAATAGTGAAAAAATGAGGGAGGCATTGGAGAGTTAATTTGGCTCTGTGACACTAAAATCTAAATTAGGAAAATGTGGGCCTGGAGATACTAAACCTGTCCTCTGCAGAATGAAAGAGGCCTGAGAGAACACAGCTTTCCGGAACAAGCAGTTGAATGTAGGAATCAAGTATTTTTTAAAATGACAAGACCCAGAGCCCCAGAACATAGTGCTCTCTCCATCCTCCATCCCTTTCTCATGGCAGTCCAAGGGCAGCCACCTGACTGAGGGCTTTTAGAAGTGGTGCTGTGGATCCAAACACAGGCCAGCACTTCCTCGAACTGCCGCAGACTCTTCTTTGGTCTTAGATGTAAAAGTCCTCTTTACTGTTCTACTGAAGGGGAGCAATTCTCTTCTGGTAGCAATTATATTCCATTTTGATCACCTGGAAGGGAAAGTTGACAAGATTTAAAAGCCCTGAACAAAGGTAAATGGTAACAATGAGATTTTACAAGAGCAATGAAATCAGACATTAATGGTTAATCCCAGTGAAATGAACATCGGAATGTGATAAGTGATTTATTTAAATAATGCTTCCTTAGGATAATCTTCTAAGCTTCTCATCCTCTGTTTGCCTTTTTTTTTTTTTTCCAGTTCATCTTCCCTATCTCTTTCCAGAACTGGCTATGCTTTGGAAATAGAGTTAAATTCAGTTTTCTTAACCTTAAAAATCAGAGAATTGAATATTTCATATCTTATTTTTTAAACCACACTAACCATCAAATCAAATAAATTACTTTCTGCTTCCACGTAGTCCTTTAACCTTTTTTAAAAGACGTAGTGGGTCACTCACTGTGAGAAAAAGATTCCCTCTGCATTGATTTTAGTAGAAGTTACAATTCTTAATAGTCTTTAACGTCACCTTGTTAAAAATGTTTTATTTAAGTGATTATTATTGGAAAAGACACTAACTCCTCATACTTTCTACAGGTTTGGATCAGGGCCAACCTATCTCAAAAGTGGGTCCGAGGTATATAACAAAGGCCCTGAGTTCTGTCCAAGAAGTGAACGGAAGCCAGAGAGGAGAGGGTATGTGTGGTTCTAATTAGAGAAGGAAGCTGACTTGAAAAAAGTCAACAGAGGAAAGTAAACAGAAGGGTTGTACCATATTCACAATCTGAGTTTTATTTAAATTTTCGAATGTAAACTTTAAACGCCCCTCCCATATTCATACATAGGCGCCAACGTTTAAAACCTAACCCTGGCATCTAAAGCTTTTGAGTAAATAAGGGAGACTTTCCATGCCATTACTAAAAGTTGTATCCATTTATTTATTTATTTATTTAGAGATGGAGTCTCACTCTGTCACCCAGGCTGAAGTGCAGTGGCAAGCAGTCTCTGCTCACTGTAACCTCCGCCTCCTGGGTTCAAGCAATTCTCCTGCCTCAGCCTCCCAAGTAGCCAGGACTACCGGCACCTGCCAGCACGCCCAGCTAATTTTTGTATTTTTAGTAGAGACAGGATTTCACCATGTTGACCAGGCTGGTCTTGAACTCCTGACCTCAGATGATCCACCCACCTCGGCCTCCCAAAGTGCTGGTGCTGAGATTACAGGCATGAACCACTGCACCCAGCTTATTTAGCATCTTCTTTTTTTTTTCAAGATTGAGTCTTGTTCTGCCACCCAGGCTGGAGTGCAGTGGCATGCACTCTGCCTCCTGGGTTCAAGCAATTCTCCTGCCTCAGTCTCCTGAGTAGCTGGGACTACAGGCATGGACCACCACAACTGACTAATGTTGGCCAGGCTTAGTCTCAAACTTCTGACCTCAAGTGATGCACCCGCCTCAGCTTCCCAAATTGTACTTTAGCATCTTTAGACGAAGGTATTTAACCTTACCCAAGACAGCCTAGAAAGAGATGGGAAAGTTGGATACATATTACATCTGAAGAAGTGTTTTAAAAAGTTTCTATTTTGATTCAAATTATGGTGAATTCAGAAATGTTTTTAAAGTCTGTTTGCAAATACAACATCTAAATCACAGCCTCTAAAAATATTTGCATTCCCATAAATATCAATGAAATGAATAATATAAATCGTACAGCTTCAGGCTGGCCTCTGGATCATTTTGAAATGTTGTCTATGGGTGAGGAAAATGATTGACTTCTTTCCTGTGTTTTTGAAGATTGTAAACCTCAGGGGACAGTGTTATTTGGAGAAAATGGGAAGATTCGTTACCCCCATTCCAAAGGAGACTACTATTGTCATAATTGGTATGTATCCCACATAGGCGTGATGCCTGGGGCATTTCCTCCCACAAAATGGGGCAGTTTAAAAGACTCCACTTTGGCAATTTTTTTTTTTTTTTTAGATAGGGTCTCCCTATGTTGCCCAGGCTGGACTTGAACTCCTAGGCTCAAGGGATCGTCCCACCCCAGCCTACTAAGTAGTAGGGATTACAGGGACATGCCACCATACCTGGTTTCTTTTGGCAATTTTATCTAGTATTTCCAGTTCTAATATTAAAATATATGTTTCATCTGATATTTTTAGGTTGGTGAATATTTACTCATTAATGTAAATCATCAACCTAAATAGTTATTAAACTAAAGTTTACTTGAATTGATGTATTCAAATATGTAATACTGACAGCATCTGGTAATGAGATTGCTATGGGATTTAGTGATTAATTCTGTCACATTTATTTCTATATTTTGGTAATGGTAATATTTTGCTTAGCATCACCTAGAAGATGGAAAATAGTTCATGTCCTATAAACTTTACTATCTTTTTACAAATTTTCTACATACCCTGTCCTCTAAAATATATCTAAATATAGCTAAAAATATCTTTAAGTTTTAGAAAATTGTTCTGCAAGTATCTCATTTTCTTAAGTGATCTAAATTCGTTCTTAAAATTGTACTGAGAATTGAATAGTGTACTACAAAGATAACAGTTCTACAAGCTTATAATCTGGTAAAAAGAGCTAGACAAAAATAACTATACTACAAAACAAGAGGAAATAAGCTTTATAATCCACACATCCAAGAATGTGCACACTAGAAAAAAATAGAGACTAATTGTCTTTGGTGTGGTTTTTAAGGTGCGTGTAGAGTGGTTAGAAGTGTGGGGAGAGATATAAATGTTATAATGGAAAAGATGGCATTGAAATGAGGCGTTGAAGGATAGTTATGATTTTATAGCTCATGAGGTCTTTGGTGGTTCTAATACTGAAGATTTCAACAGATGGAGAAGCAGGAAAGAGGTCATTCTAGGCCAAGGGAGTTAGGTATAAGCAATGTCAAGGAGGTGGGGAAGATTAGGGTTGTTTGGGTTCTGAGCATCCCACTGTGATTGGACAACAATGTGAATGGGAACTGGGGTAGCAGTGGATGATGAAGATGGAAAGGATGATCGGGACTTAATTGCAGAGGACCTTAAGTTCCATGCAGCGAGATTAGACCTTATGCTACAGTCAGTGGGTATGCTAAAACTAAAATGATGGAAAGATTATAACTTTCAGAACTAATGTAAAATGAATATAAATATTTATTTCAAGTACAGATAGAAAAGATGTGGCTTAATTTCAGCTCATAATTTAAAAGGCTTAATGGTCTAAACTGACTTTGTCTCAGGCAAACTTGTGATGATAGAATGCCAATAAAGCTTTTGCCACCTTTGCTTAAGCTATTAGAATAATATTTAGAACAAGAGTTTAAGAAACTATTTCATTAGAGTCTCAGGGAAGGGACCTCTAGGGTACAATCTTTAGACAGAGAGATTGATAAGCCAGAATTTGTCTGAAGGACAATGACCAAGATGGGAAAAATATTTAGAACAATGTTTTGCGAGGTATGGTTGTGGGAACCATAATATTTTTTGATACAGAGAAGACTGAAGAGGAGGAAGGAAGTGTCTTGATTTGTCTTAGAGGCTACTAAAGAAGCAGAATTTGACTTATTCTGAATGATTGCAGAGCTGAAAACTAAGATCACTGAGTAGAAGTTAGAAGGCAGAGTTCAATTCAATATGAAGTCATTTCTTGTTTGAGTCATTTCTGAAATTAACTAGCCTGCTTCAGGAAGTAATCAATGCACTTGATAAGTGGATATTTGAGGAAAGTATTTGTATATTGGGTAAGAGACATGCAGATGGCAGCCTACTTACCCTCAAACACAGAGACTCAACTTAGATAAGCATTTCAGAGATCTCTGCAAGAAAATGTTTCAAGAAAAGGAGGGTTATTGTAGAAGTAAAAATCAAATCAAATGCCATTGCATATGGAAACTCAAACTTCTTGAACTGAGCAGAACTGTAGGATCAAAAGTCATATTCATAATGGGTTAAGTGACTGTTGAAAATTTAGTATCCCAAATAATCAACACATTTTTATTGAACCCTTAGGATGTGTAAAACACCGTCTTAGGTGCTAGAGATACAGCAGTGAATGAAACACACGAAAATGCTTGCCTTTGTGGGGCAAGTTAGAAGGTGGAAATGGGATAATTTTTAAATGTTACATATAATAGTAGAAGGTAGTAAATGCTATACCAAAAAATAAGGCAAGAAAGGGAGGTGGAGAATGAGAGTATACAATATCAGAGAGGGTGGTTAGAAAAGACCACATTATAAAGATGACACTTGGAAAAAAAGACTTGGATAAAGCAAGGGAGGAAATTATATGATCATTTTGGAAAGGAACACTCCAGGCAGAAGGAATGGTAGGTGTGAGACAATAATACATCTGATATACTTGGGGAATAGCAAAGAGACCAGAGAACCAGAGCTGAGTGGCTGGAGAAGGGCAATGTGGCCAAATTATTTCGGACTTACAGGGCATGAAGAGAACTTTGAATTTTTCCGTAAGGGAGATAGAGAGCCACTGGAGGATTTTGAACAGAGGAAGATCATGATCTGACACATTTCAAAAAGACCACTTTTATTACTGGGTTGCAAATAGACTGTAGGCAGGCAAGACCACAAGCTGGGAGACCAACTACTGCAATAGTCCAGGTAAAAGATGATGCAATCATCCAGGTAAAAATCCAGCTTTGACCACATTTGTAGAGGTGGTGAAGAGTGGTAGGGCTGTAGGATTTGCTGATGAGTTGACAATTTGGGTTTTGAGGGAGAATGAGATCCCCATATGAGTAAACTAAGAGTTTTTAACCTGAGCTATTGGAAGAATAGAACTGTTGTCTGAGATGCAAACGTTGGGGCGGTGGCTTTTAGACAGTAGAGTCAAGAGAGGCATTTTGTTTGTTTTGATAAAGTAGACTCAACTGTGCTCACGGACAGAGAGTGAGAGTTAAGAGTCATAGGAAACACATAGAAATGTGAAGTAAGCTTTCAAAGAACACAACAAATAAAGAAGGTTTGGCATTGAGAAGAGGGCAGAATAATTCCTTTTCTGGGAAAGCAACAAAGAAGGTAATCTATAGGAAAGTTGAAGGAATTTACACTGGATGTCTTAGTTATCACACGAGATTTTAATTGCTTCAACTTTAGAAGATGAAGTAGAGATAAAATAGTTAAGATATTAAATAGTTTATGGGGACTAAAGTAAGGAGTCAACCAGAGATTAATAAGACTTTCAATAACAGTAAAATCCAATTAGTATTAGCATCTATTTATACTATATTTCAATAAATCAAGACAAAAATTCATTGTAAAATACAGTTTCAATAGGAGAAAACAAAATTCCCAAGATAGGTTCATATAAGGCTGAGTCACCGAAGACTATCTTCAGTGTAAGGCTAAACAAGGTGTAAACGCACCCACACGGAAAGTTACATGCCTCAACCTTGGCACTAGATGTAGGGAGAGGTAAAAAATTCTTCGAGAATTTGAACCACAGGTTAATACTCGTGCAGATCTATCATCTAAATTCACACCTCAAGTATAGGCCGAAGCATGTCAAGCAGAAAAATTTGGCACTGTGAAGTTGATAGTGTGCAATGTGACTGACAGAAGTGTATACAGATACTGCCCGGAAGAACTCTTTCAATTCAGGTCTACAGGAATCGTAAGACTCCTTTGTAAGATGCATTCTAATTTTAGAATGTGAAAATGTGGAAAAATTGTGTTTTAGAAATGAGGGATAGGGCTAATTTGCACAGTCAGTGACTTCTTCAGCATGCTGAGTAGCCTTAGATACTGAAAGGGTTTTGTAAATTCCAACTGGAGCTAACTAGGAAATCATAAGGCAGGCAGAGATAATATAAAGAAGGAGAGAGTTACACAGTCCCTCCAAAGCCTCCCTGTATTCTGGTATGTGGTAGTTAGATTCTCAGAAACGACAGATACCACCCAGGTTGCCCTCCTTCCTTTCACACCCATGGGAGATATTGCATTTCTCAGAGCCTAGATCAGTACCTGTCACATAATTAATGCTCTATAGATTATTTGAATTAATAAATCAATGGTTTGTTTGGGGACCCCTCTCTCACTTAGCTTGACCAGACCTCAAAATCCTTTTAAAACAGCAATCACTAATAATAAATCAAAGTTGGCATAGATTTGAAACCTATTTTTCATCTTTGAGCTAGAGATTTTGAGGCCGAAAATAATTTGATGATGGAACGATTTGAGAAAGTACCGGCCTTTGAAGTCATAAAGCCTAAACAGTTCCACTTACACAAGAGATGTGATGAATCTTTTATTATCAATGCCAGGTTTCCCATTTGGAAACAGAGGGATAATTTCTCTCCTGCCTACCTCAGAGAGATGTAATGAATCTCAAAAAGGATGATGGATGTGGAGTGCTTTTTTCCATTGAAGTGCTTGGCAAGCGAGCTTTATAATATTTTAGACAGCTTATTTTTACATCTATATTCAGGATGATGGACTTGGATAGAAAAACACTAAAGTAAAGAGTTTCCGGCCGGGCACGGTGGCTCAGGCCTGTAATCCCAACACTTTGGGAAGCCGAGGTGGGCAGATCATGAGATCAGGAGTTCGAGACCAGCCTGGCCAATATGGTGAAACTGTGTCTCTACTAAAAATACATAAATTAGCTGGGCATGGTGGTGCATGCTTGTAGTCTCAGCTACTTGGGAGGCTGTGGCAGAAGAATCGCTTGAACCTGGGAGGTGTAGGTTGCAGTGAGTTGATATTGCACCACTGCATTCCAGCCTGAGTAATAGAGTAAGACTCTGAGGAAAGAAGGAAGGAAGGGAGGGAGGGAAGGAAGGAGGGATTCCAGTTAAGGAGATATCTGGTAAAAAAAAAAAAAAAAGTATTAGTGTTTGCTTTATGGAACCTGGGCATAAAAGACTTGACTAATTCCTAAAGTCCTTATTAGTAAAGGGCAGTGAGGCTGTTAACAGGTCTAAGGTAAAGACTGCTGAATTTTGGAAAGAGTTAATTCGAACATGTTAGATTCTAGGTAAGATTGCTTTGCATTCAGGTGAAGGTGAGACATGGAAGAAGCTGGGATTTATGGCCCACTAGGATTTATTTTCTTGAATAATAAATTTATGTATGAAAATAAAGGTAAGGGATTATTTTCGTACTCTCTCAAGTTTAGATATGCTTTTAAAAATGTTAGTGAAAAGTCACAGCTGACCTTACTGGGAGTTAGAGAGATGACATTTTAACTCAGGGACTGTGACTTAGGATGACTTCGGAATATGTGGCTGTTTAAGGTTAGCAAACACTGCATGGTCAATTCATAATTCATGAGAATCATAATTCAACCTCTGGATGAATAGTATGAATTTTAATTAGGTGAATAACTCAGATGAATCTTAGGTTTCTTCAATTTATAGATCAAAATTCTAGCATTTTATAACTAAATGAAATTTGAGGGGTGTTTTCTGGTCATTCTCCAATTAATACTCATCTATTTGTCAGATAAATGTTATCAATTTGAGCACAAATTTTTCTCACAATGTTCCATTGCCTTTTATCTTCTAGTATTCTATAAAATTGTATTGTTGTTGAGTTGTGAGATAAAGCACGGGTGTTAGATTTTATTTATCAAATCTGATTCTGCCATTTGTTATATTTTCTTCACCTTCCCCTATCCCAGCTTATATGTTTGGAAAATAATGGTACCAAAGGATAAAATAATCCTGATAAAATTTACAAGTTTCGACATGGAAAAGCAAGTTGGATGTGATCATGACTATGTATCTTTACAATCAAGCAATGGGGTGCTTATTAGTAAGTATGTTACATTTGTTTTTATTTATCATTTTAGAGTATCTGAAAGGCCAAAGAGATACTAAAGGATGTAAAATAAAATTTCTGGCTGCTCTGCCTATGGAGTAGCCATTATTTAATCCTTTACTTTCCTAATAAACTTGCTTTCACTTTACTTAAAACAATAAAAATAAAAAAATAAAATTTCTTTTATTGTACCAAGGGCAATGATCTCATCTTGCACACTGTTCCCTTCTAGAAGGGTTAAGGGGAGGATAGTAAGAGTGGAGACAGTGGTCAGCACACTGACTATTCTCTTCAGTGTTTTTCTGAATTAGGAGCCAGATCTCACATTCCTCTCTCAAGTTCAGTAACAGTGTTGAATGCAATTGATGTCACAGTTGTCAGAAAACTTCCTTTTGAGGCAATTTTTTAAATTATTTTTATCACAAAAGTGGGCACATGTTTACCAAATTTGATAAATACAGATGAGCCAAAGGAAAAAAATATAAACCATTCATAACCCTGTCACCTAGAGATAATCTCTATTAGCATTCAGAGGTGTATCTATTTACACATACACTTTACAGCACTAAATGCCCACAAGAGAAAGCAGGAAAGATCTAAAATTGACACTCTAACATCGCAATTAAAAGAACTAGAGAAGCAAGAGCAAACACATTCGAAAGCTAGCAGAAGGCAAGAAATAACTAAGATCAGAGCAGAACTGAAGGAGATAGAGACACAAAAAACCCTCCAAAAAATCAATGAATCCAGGAGTTGGTTTTTTGAAAAGATCAACAAAATTGACAGACCACTAGCAAGACTAATAAAGAAGAAAAGAGAGAAGAATCAAATCGACGCAATTAAAAATGATAAAGGGGATATCACCACCGACCCCACAGAAATACAAACTACCATCAGAGAATACTATAAACACCTCTACGCAAATAAACTGGAAAATCTAGAAGAAATGGATAGTTTCCTGGACACTTACACTCTTCCAAGACTAAACCAGGAAGAAGTTGAATCCCTGAATAGACCAATAGCAGGCTCTGAAATTGAGGCAATAATTAATAGCCTACCAACCAAAAAAAGTCCAGGACCAGATGGATTCACAGCTGAATTCTACCAGAGGTACAAGGAGGAGCTGGTACCATTCCTTCTGAAACTATTCCAATCAATAGAAAAAGAGGGAATCCTCCCTAACTCATTTTATGAGGCCAACATCATCCTGATACCAAAGCCTGGCAGAGACACAACAAAAAAAGAGAATTTTAGACCAATATCCCTGATGAACATCGATGCAAAAATCCTCAATAAAATACTGGCAAACCGGATTCAGCAACACATCAAAAAGCTTATCCACCATGATCAAGTGGGCTTCATCCCTGGGATGCAAGGCTGGTTCAACATTCGCAAATCAATAAACATAATCCAGCATATAAACAGAACCAAAGACAAGAACCACATCATTATCTCAATAGATGCAGAAAAGGCTTTTGACAAAATTCAACAGCCTTCATGCTAAAAACGCTCAATAAATTCGGTATTGATGGAACGTACCTCAAAATAATAAGAGCTATTTATGACAAACCCACAGCCAATATCATACTGAATGGGCAAAAACTGGAAAAATTCCCTTTGAAAACTACACATACACTTTGAACTTTACATTGTTTGATATAATTTCCTTCTCATAACACAAATGATCATTTCATGTCATTCAATTTCTTTTATTGAGTACCTCTTATAAGCTACATAAACATAAGCAATATATCTAACTTTGTTGAAATACTCTGTGTTTCAACCAATCATTTGTTGGAATACTCTGTGTTAACCATGATAGAAGCTCTCTAGAGCTGGTATAGGCCTGAATCTCTAGATCTCTATAAGGTCAATGGTTAGGACAAATGTCTTTTCCACATATTTGACAGGAATCTATAGACAAAGTACTGTACTAGGGGTTATAATATTTATTGTCTAGATTATTTCATGCTCAGGCCTGCTATTTACACAGTAATTATTCTTTCAACCAATCATTTGTTAAAAATTAACTGTATGTGAGATATCATACCAGGTACTGGACATTTTTCGAGAAAAAGCACTCTCTGCCCAAATAAGTTGTAGTTTGAGGTAATCAAAGGTGTGACACAAAGTTGGAAATACCATTAGAACAGGGAATGTGCTGTGCTGATTTAGAAAAGGTAGCTCTTATTTCGAGTGGTTGTCTGGTAGAGTTTATCGGGGAGCTGAATTTTGAGTTAGGCCCTGAAGAATGAGTAGAATTTGGACATGAGAGACTGGGGGGTGAGAAGGCGACTGGAATAGCAAAGTCACTGAAGCAGGGAATGTTGAATGATCAAAGGGCCATTAAATAGTTTAGTGTGTTTAGACCAGAGATCTCACGGAAGATGATGGAAAACAAAACAAACATGGATACGTTTCCACCACTCTTTAGTCATGTTATTTCACTTTCCTTCACTTCTTTTAAGGTAAGGTCTGTGGAAATATATTGCCCTCACCATTGCTGACAGAGACCGGTGAGACCATGGTTCCATTTGTTTCTGATACAGAAGACAGTGGCCGTGGCCTCGAGCTTACCTTTACTGCCATACAGAACTCAGAAGCAGGTGAGTGTTTCAGGTATTTAATTCCCTGCCATTTTCCCTTGATGTGGGTGGGGAAGAGGAGGAGGAAATGCCTTTGGTCATTCTCTTTGAATTTCCCCAATGCTTCCACAGGGTCAGGTTGTGGAAGCGTGGCTATATTGGTAGAAGGGACAAATCACTCCGCCAAGTATCCTGATTTGTGTCCTGGTAACGTAAGGTGTCATCAGTTCATTCGTGCTCCAGAGAAACACATTATAAAGGTAGGCAACTGAGGAATCACTCTACCTCATAGAGGATACAGTTACCTTAGTTAGGCAGAACTTAATTCATCTGGATTGTTAAATTGCTATTTTGACTAGGAGCTTCTTCTAGCCATATGCTTTTTTTTTTTTTTTTTTCTACTCTGAAAAGAGATCTCTCTGTGTGGTTTTGAAAACTTTCAGTGGTTTAAAAGTATATACAATGAAAAGTACGGCTCCTCATCAGATTCCCATTCTACCCCTGGAGACAAACACTGATAACTTACTAGTGTCTTTGGGAGGTATTTTGAGCATTTACTTGTGTGTGTGTGTGTGTGTGTGTGTGTGTGTGTGTGTGTACTTATGCTACTTGGCAATGCCTTGTTCACTGAAAAGTATCTCAAAGATCTTTCCAGATGAGCCCACAGAACTCTTTTTAATAACTGCATAAAATATTGTATGATATTTCAGAACACATCAAACTAGTTCCCTATTAACAGATGTTTATTGAGTTTCCAGTCTTTGGTCATACCAGCTGTGGTGCCATGAATATCTGCCAGTGTCTTTGGACACATGTGGATATGTATAATTCCCAGAAGTAGACTTGCTGGGTCAAAGGGTTTGCACATTTAAACATGATAGTCATTGCCAAATTGCCCTTCAAAGAGACTGCCATTATTTACGCTTCTGTGTGAAAGCATATGAGGATGTGACAAAGAGCCTTTAAATACGCAGAGGTAAACCCTTTAAGCTTCTCTCTTCTCTAACCATTTCCCTGGTTATGTTTCATTTGTACAGTTGACATTTGAGGACTTTACTGTCAAACTTAGTCCAAACTGTATTTATGATGCTGTTGTGATTTATGGTGATTCTGAAGAAAAGCACAAGTTCGGTAGGTAGCCTTCACCCTTCAAATATGAAAGTGTTAGACTAATCAGAGTAGTTGCAACATGGACTGACTTCCTTGGATACCATAGGTAGAGTGGGAATATGAATTTCTTGCTCTGGAAACTCAGAATGCCATACAACTTTAGCTTTAAAACCTATGAGCCAGCAACTAATTTGCATTCCATTTTAATGGAAATGTGCAAAATGTAAAGATTGTTTCAGACTGTATGTAAAGTGAAAAGGCAGTCCCCAGAGAAAGGATAAAATGGTAACAGTGAGTAAATTTTTGGCAGTTGTTTAAGGTAAATTTTAAAGCTTCCTTTATTCTGTATTCCTTATGTTGCTAATATTTTGATATTTGTGTCCAAGAAAAGTAACCAAAACCTATAATTTCTATGTAGGTATAACAATTAATTTTAAGATTTTTAAAACTTCAAATATACTTTTAGTTGTGACCTAACAATTTGCTGAGTTTGAAGATTTAACGTCCAGCCCTCTAACCACTTTTGTAGGACCTAGTGTCTGTCCTTCAGCTAGATGTTTGTATGGGTTAGAGGCCAGGATTATAGATTGGCTTGGAATATTTATTTAGACATTAAGGGCAGGTTAGTGAGAGCACGATGCCATGATTCTGCAGAACAGTGCTTGTATAGTGTGAGGTTTCCATGAAAGTGACTTCAAGTGTTACCTCTCTTATAAAGTATGCTTATGTCCTGTTTAGAAAAAGGAATATATCAACTTGGGTGGTTTTTTTTCTTATTGTTTTTAACTCACCTCTTCTTATTGTCTTCAAAGTAATAACCAGTTGAGTTTCCGTGCATACTGGAAATCAAATGTCCTTATTTTAGAGCTTTTTCTGTGTAATTGAAATTACAGTGCATTGTTATTGTGAAACTAACATTTAATTCTCACATGAGATGCAAGGGTATGCATACAAATCAAAGCTGGAGAAAACTAAAGTGGTTGATTAGAAAATCGGGTGATTATTTTACTCTGTGTTCTGATTTTTTTAAAATTATAACTATAAATCAAACTTTCCTAAAATTTTTCAGCTAAACTTTGTGGAATGTTGACCATCACTTCAATATTCAGTGCTAGTAACATGATGGTGATTTACTTTAAAAGTGATGGTAAAAATCGTTTGCAAGGCTTCAAAGCTAGATTTACCATTTTGCTCTCAGGTGAGTATAAACACTTGTGGACTTTTGCTTATGAAAATGGTTACAGGGAAGATTATTTAGCCGTGTTTACCTAAATGTAGGATAGCAATCCCGTCCGTCAGCATAACAAAAATGCAGATTTCTGGATCCACCCCCAGAGACCTAGATTCTGTAGATCTGGGATGGGGCCCAGAAATCTGTGCTTTAGGAAGCACCTCAGGTAATGCTCAAGAAATGGCATCCACTGGAGCATAAAGATTCCACATGCCACACTCAGAAAGAAGATAATTAGGATTAAAGAAGGTAATTCAGAAATGAGATTGACTGGCTCTGTTTTACCAAGTTAGGGGGTTTTGAAGAATTAATAGCTATCCTGGCATTCTGAAAGATAAAGTACATGCTACTCAGACAAAAAGAATATCATATGCAAAAACCCTAACAAAAGAGAATGGACAATGTATAAGAAAACTACAAATAACTCAACATGTTTTGAGTTTTGGAGGGAACAGTAGGAAAGGCAGGAGTGAGATTATGTTGAACATGAAGCATTAAATTATAAGTGCCAGAGTGATATGATAGCTAGCTAACATTTGATTATTTGCTCTGTAGCAGGTATTCACTGAGCATTTCACATGCATTACCTCTTTTATTCCTCCTTACATACATAGGAGCTATGTGCATTGCTCTCCTCTCACCAGTGAGGGAACTGAGGCTTTGAGAAGTTAAGTAATGTTCTCAAAGATGCACAGCTGGCAAGAGATGGAGTCAGAACTTGGTCTCTCTGACTCCAGAGTAATCTGGAAGATTATGAATGAACTTATATGCAAGAAAAGTACTAAGAAAATCATTGTAAAGAATTTATTCTATATATATTGTTTTATTATATACACCCTTGTGGGGATGGAATATATGAAGGAAGCCAAGTCTAGTATTGTATTAGTCAGGGTTCTCTTAGAGGGAACACACACACACACACACACACACACACACACATATATATATGTGTGTGTGTGTATGTGTTTATTAAATATTACATCATGTATGTTAATATTTAATATGTATATATGTGTGTGTTTATTAAATATTAACTTACATGATCACATGTAAGTTACATGATCGTGTGTGTGTGTGTGTGTGTGTGTGTGTGTGTGTGTGTAAGTATTAAGTTACATGATCACAAGGTCCCACAGTAGGCTATCTGCAACCTGAGGAGTAAGGAGAGCCAGTCCGAGTCCCAAAACTGAAGAACTTGTAGTCCAATGTTCTAGGGCTGGAAGCATCCAGCATAGAAGAAAGATGTAGGCTGGGAGGCTAGGCCCATCTCTCTTTACATGTTTTTCTGCCTGCTTTATATTAGCTGGAAGCTGATTAGATTGTGCCCACCAGATTAAAGGTGGATCTGCCTTCCGCAGCCCACTGACTCAAATGTTAAATTCTTTTGGCAACACCCACACAGACACACCCAGGATTAATACTTTGTATCCCTCAATCCAATCCAGTTGATACTCAGTATTAACCGTCACAAATATGATTTTCAGGATCGTAGCTGGAATGGTGAGGTGAATGGTAGAAGCCACTAGATGATAGAGAAATGTAAGAACAAGACTATATTGACTCTTAAAATCACTTGGTTCAATTTAAGACATGTAGATATTAGCTTGTGGGAAATCCAGGTGGGGATATCTAAAAGTCTTAGGTCTAGGATTCAGGAAACAGATTAAGATTGAAGGAGAAATTTAGAAGTCATCTACATGTAGATGAATAAAAATAGAGTAATGAAAATTACCTTGGCAATGTATTTTCAGGCTAAACAATGAGATCCTGAAAAAAAGACATATTGAAAACAGACAGCCATCAATATATAAGGAAAACCTTGAGATTAACATCAAGAAACCAAGGAAGGAAGAAGTACTTAAAAGAGCCAGATGCAACAGGGATATTAAGAGATATACAAGAAATCACATTTCTGGGATCTGGCATCTAGTGTATGAATGGTTGTGTTAGTGAGATCTACAGTAGAATAATTTTATGATTTACCAGGGTAAGCAAGTGGGGTCAATTAGTGCAACTTCTCTAATTACTTTCAATTAAAATTTTATTTTCTTCTACAGAGTCTTTAAACAAAATTGAACCAACGTTACCTCCCCAAAACAATCCTGTATCTACTGTAAAAGCTATTCTGCATGGTGAGTTGACGACACGTTATTACTATCTGTTTAATCTTGTTTCTTCATTAACTAGATGTCTCTTCTGAAAGTCCTTATCTTACATTTGCTATAACTCCACAGTGAAGAAGAATAAGTCTTGTATTTAGGTCCATAAAATGTCCAGAGTCCTATTTGGATTTATAGTTAGACTTATAAGTAGAGGAAAGAACAAATAAGCTTTAGTTTAGGAAGAAAAGGGTATAAAGCAATGTTTTGTCCTCGTCTATTCCTCTACAAACTTAATATCTAAAATGACTTCTATAGTCAGTGTGGGGCAAAGGGAGAAAACAAAGGTTTTTTAATTTTAAATTCACATTGGCATCTTTTAATTTTCTTATGCTCTAAGGCGTCTGGGTAAATACTATGATCCTTCATTGTTCCACATGCATGTATTGAATATGTTTAAGTTGACGGACTGGAATAGAAAGTTGCATAAGGAGCTATCAGAGAAAAAAATATCTGCCTCTTGCTGGAGGGTTGGAGAAGGCTTCCTGGAGGTTAGCACTTGGGCTATGGGTCTCACCAGCTCCTGATAAGAGAACAGCATTTAGACGCCTGAGCAAATTTGATATGTTTGAGGATTAGTATATGGATTCATACTGTGAGAATGAGAACTAAAACAAGAAGATATAATGAAGAATCTTATGTACTCTCCTAACAAACTTGAAACTTTCCTACTAGAATATAAGTTCCATGAGGGCCAGTATTTGTATCATCTGTTCTATTCCACCAATAATATATCACCAATGTCTAGAACAGTGCCTAGCAAACGGCAAGCACTAAATAAATTTTGCTAGATGAATAAATAAAATTCTGTAGGCCAGTCCCTAAAATTCTGGCTGCCTAGCATAGTCACCTGGGCAGGCTTCTTAAAATCAGATTTTTCATACAAAAAACTAGCCAGGCGAGGTGGCGGGTGCCTCTAGTCCCAGCTACTTAGGAGGCTGAGGCAGGAGAATGGCGTAAACCCGGGAGGCGGAGCTTGCAGTGAGCTGAGATCCGGCCACTGCACTCCAGCCTGGGCGACAGAGCAAGACTCCGTATCAAAAAAAAAAAAAAAAAAATCAGATTTTTCAGAGGTGAGTTTCGGGAGTCAATATTATTATTAAGCCTATCTGATGTTTGAGAATCACTACTGTTAACTATGGCAAGCTATTGGAGGAATGTGTTCTAAATTACTGCAACCTTGTGGGTCACTGATTTCATCTTCTTTACTGTAGATGTCTGTGGCATCCCTCCATTTAGTCCCCAGTGGCTTTCCAGAAGAATCGCAGGAGGGGAAGAAGCCTGCCCCCACTGTTGGCCGTGGCAAGTGGGTCTGAGGTTTCTAGGCGATTACCAATGTGGAGGTGCCATCATCAACCCAATGTGGATTCTGACCGCAGCCCACTGTGTGCAATCGTGAGTGAAACTGGTATTTTACCAACGTATTTAGCACATGCATTTATAAGTAATGCCTAGGACACAAGGCTGACTACTAAGATCATCCAGACTAATTCTAAAACGAAAATCTTCTTTTAGTGTTTCTTCTGCATAGCCATCTAGCTTATATTTAAACAATGTCAGTGAAGGAAAAGTTAATCAAATCTTGACTGCTCATCCCATTTAAAGAGATCTCTTATTATGTAGAGTCTCCTTCCCAATTGCAGAAATCCATTGGTCTAAATGTACTGTAGTTCCAAAACTAAGTTGGGTTCTTCTTTCACGTGATAGTTCTTTCTATATTTGAAGACTCCTCTCACATTCCCATTTAGCTTAATCTTTAAGCTAAGTGCTCATGGTTCCACTGTTGGTTGTTAGTAATTCCAGATGCCTTACCACACAAGCCACCTTCCACTGGATTGGTTTAGGGTTGTTCCTTTGCAAATATGGATCATGTCAGTGGACAGCACAATAGAATAACCTACCACCTTGATTATTGCACTATTGGGGAACTAAACTTTTGGTTAATTTTTAAATGTTCTTAAATTGTGAAGTCTTCCATTATATGAAATAATATACATAATATATTTGTAGTTTAAAGAATAGATATTAATGTTAAATGAACATTTGTATTGCCAGCATCCAGTTTAGGAAGAATCTTTATACTTACCTTTCAAGACCCCGTAGAATCCCTCTCAAGAAATACTATGCTAAATTTACAAGGAAAAAAACTAACAACCCTATCAAAAAGTGGGCAAAGGATATGAACAGACAATTCTTAAAAGACATTTATGTGGCCAACAAATATATGAAAAAGAGCTCAATATCACTGGTCATTAGAGAAATGCAAATCAAAACCACAATGAGATACCATCTCACACCCATCAGAATGACAATTATTAAAAAGTCAGGAAACAACAGATGCTGGAGAGGAAGTGGAGAAATAGAAACACTTTTACACTGTTGGTGGGAGTGTAAATTAGTTCAACCATTGTGGAAGACAGCGTGGCAATTCCTCAAGGATCTAGAACCAGAAATACCATTTGACCCAGCAATCCCATTACTGGGTATATACACAGAGGATTATAAATCATTCTACTATAAAGACACATACACACATACGTTTATTGTAGCACTATTCACAATAGCAAAGACTTGGAACCAACCCAAATTTCCATCAATGATGCACTGGTTAAAGAAAATGTGGCACATACATACCGTGAAATACTATGCAGCCACAAAAAAGAATGAGATCATCTCCTTTGCAGGGACATGGATAAAGCTGGAAGCCATCATTCTTAGCAAACTAATGCAGGAACAGAAAACCAAACAATGCTTGTTCTCATTCATAAGTGGGAGTTGAACAATGAGAACACATGGACACAGGGAGGGGAAAAACACAGGGGGTGGGAGACAAGGGGAAGGAGAGCATTAGGACAAATACCTAATGCATGTGGGGCTTAAAACCTAGATGATGGGTTGATAAGTGCAGCAAACCACCGTGGCACATGTATACCTATATAACAAACCTGCAGATTCTGCACATATATCCCAGAACTTAAAATTTTTAAAAAAACAAAAGAGAAAAAAATGCTATGCTAAATTTCTTACATGCTGTATTCATACCTTTGCTTTTGGGGGATTTCAATATATATGTATCCCCAAAACAGTATGTCATTTGGTTTTTCTTGGTTTTGATCTTTATGTAACAGAACTGCAGTTTATATTCTTGTGTCTTACTTCATCTCCATAATACCTTGTATAGATGAAGCCATGTGACTGTGTATAATTGTAATTTGTTTTCGATCCAGACTAGTTAAAGCCATCCCTTGTTCTGGGCATTGGTGTTTTTGAAAAGCTTCCCAAATGACTCTACTGTGCAGAGGGTCAAGAACCACTCCCTGCCTCCCAGACCCCATCTTTTTTTGAGAACAGGTCTCTCTCTCTCACAGACTGGAGTGTAGTAGCGTGATCATAGCTCACTCTAGTCTTACCTCTTGGGTTCAAGGGATCCTCCCACCTCAGCCTTCTGAGCAGCTGGGACTACAGACACATGCCACCATGCCCGATTTTTGTTTGTTTGTTTTGGTTGCTGTTGTTGTTGTTTTGGGCTTTTTTGTAGACACGGGGTCTTGCTATGTTGTACAGACTGGTCTTGAACTCTTGGGATCAAGTAATCCTCCCACTTTGGCCTCCCAAAGTGCTGGGATTACATGTGTTGCCCACTATGTCCCGCGTCCCTGACCCCTTCTTGATCAGTTCCCTGCTTGCTCCCAGTAGGCCAGCCTCATGGGCCTTTCTGTTGCTCAGATATGCTGAGCTTGTTCCTGTCTCAAGATCATTGTAGTTGCTGCTTCAGGACAGCTCATTATGTTTAGTTGTCAAGTCTCCTCAGGCTGTTCCTGGCTGTAAACTTCTAAGACTTTCCTTGGTCATTTTGAGGAGTTCTCATCTGTTTTTTTTTGTAGAACGTCCCTCAGTTTAGTTTGTCTGACAATTTTGTCAAGGTTTTACTAGGGTTATGGATTTGGGGGAGGAAGACCACAGAAGTAGCATACTATTCTTATCATATATCAAGGGTACATACAGTCAACATGACTTATCACTGATGTTAACCTTGACCATCTGGCCGAGGTAGTGTTTACCAGGTTTCTCTAATGTAAAGTTACATTTTTCCCCCTTTCCATACTTACTCTTCGGAAACAAGTCAGTAAAGGTAGCCCACGTTCAAATTATTCCAGCTTTGGCCATTGTGAGCTCTTTCAGAGGTAGAGACCAGCCTTTGGCTTCTGTCTCTTTGATACTCCCTCATATTTTGTAACACTGCAAGATACTCCAGGTCTGTCATATGTATTTCCTTCTCAGTTCCTGCACCAGCCATTTCTCCAAGGGGCCCTGGTTCATTTTATTGGAGAATGGTATGACAAATCATGATCTGATGCTGGGCATACCAGTTGCTAGTAGCACATTGTTGGTTCTAGGCCTTCTCAGCTGATAGAGCTAGAAAATATAGGTATGTATACTAACCCATGTATATAAATATATCTATCTGTATCTATTATCAAGCTAAACATGGGTTCATACAATATTTTCAACTCTAATTCAGTACCACCTGCTTTTGTCTAGGCCTTCTCTCCCTTACAGAAGCCTATTTATTTTTTAAGAATTCTATCAAAGTGCATTGAATGTACCATGGAAAAGATGCTTCAAGAGAAGCTGATTAATTTGTTAAAATTAATGTATTAGAAAAGAAAATATTAGTATTGAGTACAGAGACACAGAAAAAGTTTTGGCAGATTCCCTTTTCAAATTACATGGTCTATTCTGAAATTTATGTGATGAGCCATGTCGCCTTGCCGCAAGATACAGAATGTAACAAACCTATTCTTCCCAAGATAGATATTCCATGTGATGAATCAATTGAAATTAATAAACAGCTGTAAATGTTTGTGAGCCACTTGTTAGCCACAAAAAGAATTTGTATTTAATTTCATTTGTGACTTCTTAATTTCTTTAAATACATGTATTATAATAGTAATGTTTTTTGGGGAAAAGGCGGTTAGAGAAGATTATCAAGTAAGAGCTTAAACTACCCTCTCCATTTATCTAACACACTCTTTTTCTCTAGACATCATCAATGTTAAGAATGTTTCAATTGTCTGATTTTCTACTAATATTTAAACATACACATATATATTTTATAGTATTTGTATATATCACATTTTTGGCACATAACATTATATCTTACATTTATAGTGGTATGGTAAATGTCTATGTGCCATATTTTTTAATAGTTCACAGTTGCCTAAGTTATTTGACCAGTGAAATGTCGTTTTAAATCTCATCCTTGAAGTCTGTGGATCTTTATACCAGGAGTGTACTAATATGCTGGTGTAACAAAAACCCTATGGCCTACACGTCCCTGCCTTTTAGCTTCCCTGGCACTGGTTGACCCTAGTATTAATTCTCAAACTTCAATTAATTCAATTCTTCCAGAATCACCTGGAGAGCTTCTGATTCTTTAAGTCTGGTGCGAGGCCTGAGCATTTCCTGATAGTGGTGTTCTACACTTAGGAAAATTTGGTGTTCTCATCTTGTTAATTCCACACAGGATTTTGTGCTCACTGGGACTTTTAACTTACTTTTGGAGACCAAGCTCACTTTGCAATTATATATGTGAATCTTTTGTCTAAAATTTAAATCAGCTACTGAAACTTCAGTGACTTACTTTCTGTGATCAAATCAGGTGGCTCTTCTTCCACAGCAGTAAGCGACACATGCTCCATTGCTGGGTTGGGGATAAGATCCTAAGACTATAAGAAATGAAATTTTATATGGGAGATGGGGAAGAAAACGTGAAGAAATCCATCAATTGATACCTTGAGCTATTTTCCCGCTATTGGAAAAATCTCAAGCTTTGTGGTATCATAAAGTGTATGTGGCTTTGTCGTGCTTTTTTTTACAGTGTTCTCCATTAAACTGAAGGATATTTGATGACTGTACATGCAAAACATCACAAGAAACTGTGGTCTACATTATCAACTCTACCATCATTTTTATTACTTCATTGTATTATATACACTCTATTCTATATAAAGATATGGAGTAGATTTAAGAAGTTTCTTCACTACTAAGTACTTATTTAGAGGGTGACTTTGAAAAAGTTTAATCCTTTCTTTAGCATGCATGGCAGATAATAGGAATGATAATGGCTACCATTATGGAGTCATTACCATCTACCAGGTACTTGCCAAGTACTTCACTTGAGTTAGCTCCCTTAATAAAGGCATATTGAAACACATGAGCAAGTTAAATCCATTATGCAAGGAATTGAAATGAGCATGGTTACGACTGGGGAGAAGATGCCTACTTGCATTAAGAATCTCTACCTTTGAATAAGGTATATTGAGAAATAATTTCAGTAACTTTACTTTTCCTGAAGAAACAGTGTTAAAAAAAAAATGGAAGAATTAGTCTCCAAGTAGAAGTGACAGTATAGTGGTTCCAGTAGAGGGACTCTTTCCTCAGACAGTTTTTAAGCTGGAGATTTTGATATGGTAAATTAATGGAAATTGATTCAAACTTCTTAACATCATTTTGAGGTACATCAGAAGTATACAGAACTTTTCACACAATGAACACCCATGTAACCGACACCCAGATCGAGAAACAAAATACTACATTAACTAGTACCCAGCAGTCGCCCTTGTGCCTCTTCCAGTCATCATTCCCCTAAAAGTAATCAGCATTCTGATTTCTAACGCAATAGTTGAATTTTGCCAATTTTCAAACTGATGAATTCCTTTGAACTTTAGTTTCATAACTCTGATTTAACAAAAAATGGAAATCTGAGATACTATCCAGTGAGATCATAATTTGGCAATATTGAACAGTAAAATATAGACCAAAAGCTACCTTGTCACAGGTGTAATTTTTTAAACATATTCTTAATATCACTGTGAAATAAAGCTTTAACTATTTTCATTTTTCCTCCTTGACCTAAAAAAGGCTTTGGTAATATTTGGCAAGGTTTCCAATGACACTTTATGATCAAAAGAAAGGGGCAGGATACATGATCAAGAGCTCTTCTTCACATAGATCAGAAGGCACGATATGCCTTCCCGGGGAGGGAGATCGCAAAAGCAATCGGACAGGGGACTGTTGCCTCGCTGAACTGAGCAGTGCATGTTAGTAGGGCCAGATGATGGCAGGGTGGTTTCCCTCATGCTGTTCTCCTGATAGTGAGTTCTCACAAGATCTGATGGTTTAAAAGCGTGTGGCTTCCTTTGGTCTCTCTCTTCTGCTTTGCCGTGATAAGATGAGCTTGCCTCCCCTTTGCCTTCCACCATGATTGTTAAGTTTCCTGAGGCCTCCTCAGCCATGCAGAACTGTAAGTCAATTAAATCTCTTTTCTTCACAAACCTCTTTTCTTCAGAAAGTCTTCAAAAGACTTTATAGTCTCAGGTAGTCTTTTATAGCAGTGAGAATGAACTGTTACAAACGTGTTTTCATGTCAAACTTTCACTGTTCTTCTGTCTCCAGGAAGAATAATCCACTCTCCTGGACCATTATTGCTGGGGACCATGACAGAAACCTGAAGGAATCAACAGAGCAGGTGAAAAAATGTTTTTACAGGTCATTCTGCCTGTACTGTAAATGTTGTCACATGCCAAGGAATACCTTTAGCTAAAATATGTAATTGGTTATTAATCCCCTAGGGTCCTTTTACACTTATCATTTATACCCACATTTAAAAATGTAATTTGAAATTACATTTTCACTTGAGAATTACACGAAGTAGGTCGGAATTGCAAATTTAGGCCCAAGGACACCGGTTTTCAAAGCTTTGTTTCTCCAGCACCACCTTTATCCAGAAGGTGGTTCACAGCCTCCTGCAAATTATAAACCAAGATTGCTCTTTTATATTTAATACAAAGTCTTCTTCATTGCTTAGGTACGTAAGTGCAGAGATTTAAGATTATTTTGGACCATCAGCAAGGAAGTAGCTGACTTTCACTTTCTTACCTTGTAATTTGCTTACTTGCCACTGATACAGGTGAGAAGGGCCAAACACATAATGGCGCATGAAGACTTTAACACACTAAGTTATGACTCTGACATTGCCCTAATACAACTAAGCTCTCCTCTGGAGTACAGCTCGGCAGTAAGGCCGGTATGTCTCCCACACAGCACAGAGCCTCCGTTTTCCTCAGAGATCTGTGCTGTGACCGGATGGGGAAGCATCAGTGGAGGTAAGCATTTTTTGTTTCTTAAACATGAATGCCAGTTGTTATTTTTGAAAATAGGTCGTGTAAATGATATCAAGCAGCATCCGCTTCAGCCCCTCCTCTTTCTAAAAGATAGACACCACGTTTTATTTAGCTGTAATAGATCAGCAAGTAAATAGAGAATGAGCTATTTAAAACTTTTCCTTCAGGGTAACTTAGATTATAAATAGGCTAGATTAGCAGTCAACAAATCTTTACTGTAATGGGCCAGATAATAATCCTTTCATTATCAAAGATGGCTTTGCAGGTCATCTGGTCTCTATCACAACTATTCAAGTCTACCGTTATAGCATAAAGCAGCCATTGGCGGTATGTAACAGAATGGGTTCCAACAGAACTTAATTTATAAAATGTATATTTCATTTAATGTGTGTGTGCCATGAAATACTGTTCTTTGGATTTTTTTTAACCACCTAAAAATGTACAGACCATTCTTATCTCATGGATTGTGCCCATGTTTGGGGGTGGCACAGAATTTATCCACTGGCTGTCGTGTGCTCACCCCTGGCTACGGTATAGAACTCTTAAAGGCTTAGTAACACAGTGAAAGATTGGAATGGGTTGATATTTGTTTTGTGCTTCTTATACCATAAGATCATTTTCTTTGTATATTTCCTTTCTGTATGTCATTTATTTGGAATCTGTGAGCTTGAAGGAGAAGGGAATTTATATTTGACTGCTTACAGTGTTGATTTTCACTGCTTACTGTGCTACCTGAAGCCAAATTGCACTTTCATAAAAACCTTCACACCCAACACATGAGGAGCTTTTACCATCCCCATTTTACAAATAAGGAGGTTGCAACCCGAAGATATAAGTAACTTGCTAAGATCCCATAACTAATAAATATCAAAGTGAGGATTTAAGATCGGTGTGACTCAGTTTATCATCATTCCTTAATGGCTTCTCATTACACATACAATCAAATCTGAACTCCTTAGCCTAGCTTGGAAAGCTCTGTGTGATTGGGCCTCTCCACTTATCTCTTCCACATAATTTCCCTCTTTTTTTCTTGTGGTTAACCTTCAGATACCGTGGCCTTTCTCCTTTCGCTTAAAGACCAAGCTTGCTCTGCTTTCTGAAGTTCCTCATTTTGTGTCCTTCTACTTGGAGCACTCTTATTACAATCTTGTCACATCTGCCTGCTCATTATTGCATTTTCAACCAAAATATCACTTCCTTTCTTGGCCCACATTGCTGCAGCAGGACAGGCTTCCGGTCACATTCCGCACTACCTGGTTTTATCCTCTCACTGCACGTTAATGTATTTGGCATGATTTCATGCAGTCATCTTCTACATCTCATCTACTAGACTGAGAACCTTTTGGAGGCAGATCTGTCATTGAGCACTGTCTCCCCAAGGCTAGAAGCCTACATGGCATTCAGTAAATATTTCTTGGCTTACCAGTTTCAAAGCCCTTGAATAAATGTGCCTACCATCTAATACCTTTGACCTTTGCCAATTCCATGACTACCAGGCAACTGAGAGGTAGTTAGTTTTACAAAAGGTGAATTCATTCTTTCCAGCTAGGAGAGGAAATGAATCTTGATTCCTGGGATATGGTCAGTAACACTTAGGGAGATGGTCCCCGAGAAGAGGAGTTTTAGTATATTAAGAAGAATGCAAGATTCAGAGTTGAACTTAGGCTTGATTCTAGTTCTGTCCCATAAGAGCTGTGAGATCAAATTTTCAGAGGTCTGGCTTTTTCATATGTGAGATCAGTGTGATTAACCTGATCTCACATATGAAAAATGGTGTTGTATTAAGTTGGAATAAAACTCTTTATAAATATTAAGATACTATATAAATGTAAAGTACATGCTATTAATATTGCCCCAAAAGGTATAGGGCTATAAAATATTAAACTTAAAAAAATTGGTCATAAATCTAAAATGATAGGATGAGTCATGCAAAATACATGTTAACATAGGCCTGCCTAGGGATCAAATATGAAAATAAATTATTTGTGTTTTCATTAATTGGAGGTGCGATTAGGCTTCAATGACAGTAGATGAAAAACAGGATTATGATTTTTGTTTATATTTGGAAATCATATAAGCATATTATTTGTAAGCAATTATATATTTATGTATGTATATAACCATATATATTTGTAATTGTATAAGTCATATATGACACCAATTCATATCATGCTGAATTTTTCTTCCTGAATTCTTATGCAGAAATACTTGATACACTAACGTTTAAATTGAAAATAAGCTAGGAAAAAAGTGTTTCTGGTTTTATTATCCTGCCAGTGGCCTCTCTTTACAAAAATGCCAAATTGGGACATGAAGATATGTCACATGAAACACTTGTATTTTTTAACTTCAGTATTCTACATCAGCTCAGGCCAAACTAAATGACTTCAGCTATGTTGGTACAGAGCTAAGTCTGAACTCAAATACATTTCTAATATCACTTGCTGCTTGCTTCATCATCGAGCTCTCTCTGAATGTTTCTTCAATAGATGGTGGCTTAGCAAGTCGCCTACAGCAGATTCAAGTGCATGTGTTAGAAAGAGAGGTCTGTGAACACACTTACTATTCGGCCCATCCAGGAGGGATCACGGAGAAGATGATCTGTGCTGGCTTTGCAGCATCTGGAGACAAAGATTTCTGTCAGGTGAGAGGATTCTGGTTTTATACAGGAAGACGGAAAATTGCTGTCTGCTGGAGAGTTTCTATAGACAGGAGAAACCACTGCTGAAGCCACCAACTTGTCATGTGCTTCAATATCATATCCCTGCATGAAGACCAGTGGGGCAACAGAAGTAATAAGTTAATTAATCCGAATTTGCTGAGATGTCAGAGAGTGACTGGAAGCAGCTGTACAGCGAGAAAGGCCGGTGGGTTCATAGAGGAGCTGGTGAGAAGGTAGGAAATAGCAGAGCCTCTCAGCAGGCCTGAGCAAGGGAAGATGTATTCAGGTATACTTAAAGCTTTCAGAAAAGGAAAAACAAAGGTTCTAAACTTATGTGTCCTATATATGACTTAAAAGTTTTATTCGTTTATATTATCATTAATCTCTGTACTCTCACTTAATTTTTCCACCACAAAATAAAATAATCACAAAGATGTCTATTGTATAAACTTGATATTGGCAAGTTCATGATTAACTAAGGAAAACACAGAATGTGAATGAATAGATTGTAGAATGCCAGCTTTAACATTCACAAAGTCAATGGAAGAATGTGACTTTAGATATACATACAACCGAAGAGTTTCTAACACTCCATGTGCCCACCTCCAATCCCTGGTTTGGATTTGAGGCTACCCACGTAAGGGAAAGTTTGGGTCCCTAGGGCACCCCAAATTCTCCAGACTTATCCCTCCTACTGATCTGGCATAGAGAGGAAAGAAAGAATGAATCTTGTTTCTACAGCTCTTTGATAGTTTTCCCCAGCACTCAGTGAAGAAACATGCAGCAATAGATTTCACCTCCATGAGGGAGAAACAACTGGGCATTTATCTAGGTGGATGTCCTTCCATGTGAAAATATGAGAGAGGGAATGAAGTCCCCTTTAACACTGAATATAAATTTATTGTCATTAACCCCTTCCTTTTATAGCATCAAGCGCTGCTTAAATTCTGTTTTAATTTTGCATATATTTATTTGCATTTCCCAGAAGCAGACCCTGAGATAAGGATTCAGGTGCAACGGTCTGTTTTAGGAATCATAGATATCACTGGTAGGAAAGGGAGGTGATGGTACAGGGAAGGGAAGGCAGCCAATCTAGGATGCATTATTAAGCCACCTGCCATAGTGAGGGCCTAAAGCTTAATCCTGCAGGAAACTCAGGGCAGTGATGCTAAATACACGTGATGGATTTATCCATCTGAGGGGCGAGGGAGCTGGGATATTTATGTACTACCTTCCCTGGAGCCATAGTTTGAGTGCTGCTGTGGGAAAGGGCTGTTAATCCCTCAGCACTTCCCATACTTTAGAGTTGCCTCCTGGGTGGAGTGGAGAGTGGGGAAGACCCCAGACACAGATCCAGGACATGGGCTGGAAGATGTGAGGATTACAGAAAGTGCACTCCTGCTGTCTGCTTGACTACATAAATGTTATCTGATAAAAATCACAAAAGTACTCTGAATTAATGTGTTCATTCTTCCCCTCAGTCTATTGCAGGATTTCAGGGATGGCTTTTCTTTCTTCAACAAGAAGATCACAAGTAATTATGTTGTCTTTTACATATTTGACAGCATCTAACATTACAGGGTGAGCTTATTTTGTGTGGAAAGAAAAGAACTAGAGAGGGTCTTAGAAAGGTCCATGTCACAGGTGACCTAAGTATCATGATCTCAGTTGGCACTTATGTTTTCAGTTATATACAACTGTCACTTTGGCTGCAGCATGACCAAATGTACTGCCCATATATAGGAGGAAAACTAGAAGTTGAGGTTCTGATAAATATGGCTAGCTTTCTATTACAAAGAACACTGAGTTACTAAAAGGGTGACTTTAGAAACATGCTTTGACAAAATAGTCTCTAATACTTCTGTCAGGTAATTGATTTTTATTCTCCTGTGTATACTTAGAGGTAATAGACCTGCTAATGTGCTTTCTCATCCAGGAAGGTGGGAATAACAATATTGGAATGCAGAGACATGCGGTTTTCAGATATGCAATGTAGTATCCTGTTGTTCTTTGCTAACTGGATTTCAGATTTTTTTATTCTAAGTTCTTTTTCAATGTTTAATTTTGTGGTTATATAGTAGGTGTATGTATTTATGGGGGACATGAGATTTTGATACAGGCATACAAGGAATAATCACATCAGGATAAATGGGGTATCCATCACTTCAAGCATTTATAATTTGTGTTACAAACAATCCAATCACATTGTTTTAGTGATTTTTAAATGCACAATTAAATTATTATTGACTGTAGTTACCCTGTTGTGCTATCAAATACTATTTTTTTCATTCTATTTTTTGTACCCATTAATTATTCCCACTTCCCCTAGACTCAGTCACTACACTTCCCAGCCTCTGGTAACCATCCTTCTATCCCCATGAGTTACATTGTTTTGATATTTAGCTCCTACAAATAAATGAGAACAGGCGAAGTTTGTCTTTCTGTGCCTGGCTTATTTAACTTCACATAATGACCTCCAGCTCCATTCACGTTGTTGCAAATCGTAGGATCTCATTCTTTTGTACGGCTGAGTAGTACTCCATTGTGAACATGCACCACATTTTCTTTATCCATTCATCTGTTGATGGACACTTAGGCTGCTTCCAAATCTTGGCCATTGTGAAAAGTGTTGCAGTAGACATGGGAGTGCAGATAACTTTTCAATATCTTGATTTCCTTTCTTTTGAGTATATACCTGGGAGTGGGATTGCTATATCAATGGTATTTCTATTATTTTTTAAGGAATGTCCATACTATTCTGTATAGTGGTTGTACTAATTGATGTTCTCGTCAATAATGTACATGGGTTCCCTTTTTCTCCACATCCCTGTAAGCATTTGTTATTGCCTGTCTTTTGGATAAAAGCCACTTTAACTAGGGTGAGATGATATCTCATTGTAGTTTTGATTTGCATTTCTCTGATCAGTGATGTTGAGCACCTTTTCATATACCTGTTTGCCGTTTGTATGTCTTCTTTTGAGAAATGTCTATTCAGATCTTTTGTCCATTTTTAAAATCAGATTATTAGATTTTTTCTATAGAGTTATTTGAGCTCCTTAAATATTCTGGTTGTTAATCTCTCGTCAGATGGGTACTTTGCAGAAATATTCTCCCATTCTGTGAGTTGTGTCTTGGCTTTGTTTTCTTTGCAGTGCAGAAGATTTTTAACATGGTGTGATCTTATTTGTCCATTTTTGCTTTGGTTACCTGTGCTTGTGGGGTATTACTAAAGAAATCTTTGTTCAGTCCAGTGTCCTGGAAAGTTTCCTCAGTGTTTTTTAAATTAATTTCATAGTTTTAGGTCTTAGATTTGAGTCTTTAATGCATTTTGATTTGACTTTTGCAAATGGTGAGAAATAAGGATCTACTTTCATTCTTCTGTATAAGGACATCCAGTTTTCCCAGCACAATTTATCAAAGTGACTGTCCTTTCCCCAATGTATTTTTTTTTTTTTTTGCACCTTTGTCAAAAATGACTTCCATGTAGATGTATGGATTTTTTCTGGGTTTTCTATTCTGTTCCATTGTTCTATGAGTCTGTTTTTATGACAGTACTGTGCTGTTTTGGTTACTATAGCTTTGTAGTATAATTTAAAGTCAGGTAATGTGATCCTTCCAATTCTGTTCTTTTTGCTTAGGATGGCTTGGCTGTTCTGAGTCTTTTGTGGTTCCACATACATTTTATGATTATTTTTTATGTTTCTGTGAAGAATGTCATTGGTATTTTTTCTAACTTATTTTCCTCTACAAAGTACAGATCTCTCTTCACAGAATAATGTATGTCCTCAGCGACATTGATTGCCTTCTAACCTTCCAACTGGCCATGTCTTGCCTTAAAGCCTTAGCCCAGATGTGTCTTTTGCATAAAATGTTGTTCCTCCAGGTTTTTGGAAAGCTGGCTTCTTCTCATCCTTTATGTATCAGCTCAAATGTTATTGAAACTGCATACACATACATGTACATGTAAGCACACATATACCTACCTTTATTCTCTACCATTCACTCTGAGTATTTCTTTTGTAGCTACTATTAGCATCTTATTTGTTTATACTCTGTTTTACACAGTATGTCTGACTCACAGTAGGCATTGAATAATTTTTTAATGAAAAAAATTCATTTGTGGCTAGGCACGGTGGCTCACGCCTGTAACCCCAGCACTTTGGGAGGCCAAGGCAGGTGGATCACGAGGTCAGGAGATCGAGACCATCCTGGCCAACATGGTGATACCCTGTCTCTACTAAAAATACAAAAAATTAGCTGGTCTTGAGGGTGCGTGCCTGTAGTCCCAGCTACTTGGGAGGTTGAGTCAGGAAAATCGCTTGAACCCAGGAGGCGGAGCTTGCAGTGAGCCGAGACCGCACTACTGCACTCCAGTCTGGGCAACAGAGCAAGACTCCGTCTCACCAAAAAAAAAAAACCAAAAATTCATTTGTTTGCTGAATATTTACTATGGACTAGACCATATGATAGGCACTGGCAAAAATAGATAAATTGGACAGGTTCCCTGTATCGTGGAATGTTTGTGATTGCCTGAAAAATTATGTATTGGCTATGCGTTGGTACTGAAAAAAAATCAATGATTTAAAATAAAACACTTGACTGGATACATCAGACCATTGTCCAACTGGAAAGGAGTCTTAAATATAATTGTTATGTGAAAAAGTTAGGCCCAGAGGAAAGGTTAATTGTTCTACATTACAGACTAGTGACTGTATCTCTTTTTTCCCAAGTTAAGGTATCTTCTGTTGAATTCTTTATGTAAAATAGATATTTCAAATAGGTACCATCAATTTATGTGCCATCAAATATGTGCACAATTTATCTAACAAGAAGACAAATAAATGACTTAATTTGGTCCTAAATACATTTGTGTCCATCCACTTCCTGCAAAAGACTTGATTAAAAATTGGAAAGCCTACCCTAAAAAGATGAAAATCCTATGTATTAAGACTTGCTTTGATACAACTAGTTTATAAAATTTCACTGTAAATTAAGCAAATGTTTATTTAGCATGTATTATGTGCTGAGTATTGTGGTAGGTTTCCTAGGATACAAAGTTGAATCAGATGCAGTGCTTACCCTCAAATGAGGCACATGTTGTAAATAGAAAGAGACATAAACAAGGGCATATATTGAGCACTGCCATTGATTTTCACATTGCACCTCAAGAGACATGTAGAAGAAGTTAGTGCTAATTAATAGATAAATGTGTGTGATGTACATATTTTGGTTCCCTTAATAACAATACCACTGTTGATTTTCTTCAAAATCTCTTTCTGCTTATAATTTATCAAGTTAAACAATGCAAATATTGGGAGGAGTGTTAAAGAGAGACGCTTCCATCTACGTGAGCTTCTTAGTGCTTGTGGGTAGTATTTTTGCCTTTTGAAATGTGTTTAATCATGACCTAAGTAGCCTTATCTAAGAGAGTGAACAAAAGTAACTATAAGTTAAATTTCCATGTGTCTTTCCTTGAATTCAGTAATTCTGTAAGCCCGATACTAGAGCAGTTTAAGGTAGTTCCATTAATGAATATTTATCAATTTGGTGGAAGGGAAAGAGCACGGAACTTTGGCAGGTGACATGGGCTCAGATTTTACTGCTGCTACTTACCTATATGTGTGAAATGGGACAGGTCACTTATTTCTCTAATTGTAACTTTTCACATGTAATATCTAAGTAAGTTAAATTAGTTTGACCCTTTAAATCTTTGAAATTGTGTAATTTTGGTACCTGCAGGTAAGCCAAAATAAAATTGGAATACTAGAATTAGAATGAATACATTTTAATAGATTTAAGTCAGCCTTTCACTTTTCTTCATCTCACCACCAACACCCTAGTTTCTCTGTGTATGTCGTAACTCTACTCTTTGATCTGAATAGATTGTGTCAAGAGTGACCAGTGATAGGGAAAACACTACATGTAGAGGTTACCACCCAATGACCCTAACCCAATTTCCTTTAAAAAAAAAAAAGAAGAAAACAAAACAGGCAGCGCATTTCTTATGATGGATCCATTTGAGCCACTGTGCAGTTTTGTAATTAAATTTTTATTTTTAAAAGATGCTTGAAATCTTAAATATTACAGTTTTACTAATTGATATCATTTAAAGACTATGTCCCTCCAGTGGAGCTGGGAAGACTTAGTAATTGTTTTCTGATTATGTGAACTAAGCTTTCTCTTCACCCTGGAATCAAATTACCATCTGATTGTTCATAAATTTTGTTTCCTTTTGCAAAACAGTGAATATATAGTATGTGAAAATGGAAATTGACAAAGAACAAATCTTATTAAACACATTACAAATACATTATTGGCCATTCTTGTTCTAAAACTTGAAAGCAGGAGCTTCGGATTAAAGCAGTTTTCTAGAACATGTTTTCTTGGTGTTTCAGGGAGACTCTGGTGGGCCACTAGTATGTAGACATGAAAATGGTCCCTTTGTCCTCTATGGCATTGTCAGCTGGGGAGCTGGCTGTGTCCAGCCATGGAAGCCGGGTATATTTGCCAGAGTGACGGTCTTCTTGGACTGGATCCAATCAAAAATCAATGGTAAATTGTTTTCAGATGTTATTAAAACAATACCTCTTTCTTTAGAGTGGGTTTGGGAACAGTGAGTGTAGTATAAATTAGTGTGAAAGAGAAAAACCATAGAGTAGAATTTCATTTAGTTACTAAACACACTAAAACGCAAGATTCTGCAAAATAAGTTCTCCCATGTGTAGAGTTAGAGTAAAACTGACTTTTTCTGAGGCTGCTTTAATCCTGGATTTGTTTCTTTTTTGATAGTGGCTGCTTTGGTGCCGACTATATTTTGTCCTCAGGCTTTCATCTTTATTTTTAACATGTTCTCCCCAAATACAGGTCCTGCTTCACTTCAGACAAATAATAAATGCAAAACCTTAAAACAACAATTGCTACCACCCACACCTTCGCCAGGCAGTGCATCTTGGACAGGTAATAAATGTTCACGTTGTCCCATTGCATTGTCTGTCTAGCTTTGCTAAATTTTCTGTGGAACACTGTAACCTCTGTGTTTTCCTTCTGGTGGGTAGCTTTAGCTGAAAGTGGGGAGAGTTGTTATTATGGTTGCTGGAGATCATTTCTACCCCAAAGCTAGACCTGTTGCAGATTTTTTTAAAAAAAATTTTGTGGTTGTGAACAAGTGCTTGAATATTGGAGAATTACATAGAATTATTTTAAGCTCTGAATCTGAACAAAAGTCCTTCTATATGCAAGTATCTTGCTACGTAAAGACTCTGGGTATGAGACGACCAAGACCAGCATCAGCATTAGTATTTCTCTTCATTCTTCCACAGCTGTCACTGTCTGCCTGATAAAATAGGATTTTGATTTTTAGTCAAAACTAACAGCAACTGGAGGATTAGAAATCTCTAATAGACTTGTAGGAAAATAGAAGTTCTATTTTATTATCACTCTTGGTTTCCAAGTGGTAGTCTTTCTTTTGTTGCCCACATCTTCCCCTTCCCCAATACATTCAACCCCGGTAAACAACTAGGAAGAGTTCAAAGAAAATGTAAGATATAGAAGGTAGAACTGCAAGAGTGAAGACTTTGAGTAGAAGAAAGAGGATGAGATCTAGTGACCAAAAGAAGGGGATGGTCTTAGATAGGAGCAAAATACACATCATCTGTAGTTAATGGATGGAAGGCAGGATCTTGAGGCATCAGTGCAGGTATGAGGTGTATGGGTATAGATGGAGATAGAAGCTTGCGGTATTTCTCTTCTGATTGCTTCTTTTTCTTAGTAGGCGAACAGAAAGAAGGGGTTGTTCAAGAAAGTTTGATTTTTTAAGAGAAAAAAGGATGAAATATCTCTCTAGAAAACAGCATAGTGAATAGAAAGACATAGTAGGACTGCTGGATAGCATAAAGCCCCCCTGAGATGAACGATCATAATTTGAGAGAGCAAAATGCCCCCATTTAGCTTAGTTGTATGTTTCCCTCTGGATACACTGAGGTAGATGCAGAGTAGGTAGAGTATAGATTTAATCAAAGTGGAGTGTTCCCAAGCATGTGAAGGGTATAAAGGAATTCAGAGTGTATGTGAGTAAGTGGTTAAAATGATGGATCATTGGAATTTAGGATGAGTAAGGAGTGAAATACGGATGAGAGATTTGTTTGGGACAAAAATAAGGTGGTAGGACACGTAAATTATAAATCCCAAAAGGTGGAAGGAGTATTAAGGGAGACTGAAAAGATGGAAGGTCATGGTTGGAGAAAATGGTTCCTGAAACTGAGATTACAGAAGGCTTGGAGTTACTGCTATTGATCAAGTGTCTGGGGGCTGACCGTAAGGATAAGTGGCTGAGGTCAGGTGGAAGACAAGATCATTGCAGGAAAGTTGAGGAGCTGGGAAACTTCAGTGCTGGAATCATCATGTATATAGTGATTGAAATCAGAAAGAACTATGACAGGAAAAGTGTTGGAGAAAATGACTGCTAAAATCTTCCAGAAATGAGGAGTGGACCCAGGACCATTTGTCTGGCAACATGAGTCAAAGAGTCAAAGCTGGGGATTTTAACCTACAGTTAGGTTAAAAGTAAATCTGGACTTGGGATTGAGACAGAGAGCAGACTTGGGTCCAAGATCCTATAAACTATTGATTTCAATGGACTGAGTTGAATGAGTTCAGTGAGTGCCTAAATAGGTTAATCCATGTAAGGCACTTAAAACAGGGAGGACCTGACCCGAGATAAGGGTCCATAAATGGTGGTGACAGTGCCATCTAATGTATTTTTTGAATGACCTTATTCAGGTCATTAGAAAATGAACATTGTTAAAATGTAAAGAAAATGTTTCTCTTTTAAATATGTTCAGAAACAGTTATGCATGCCGAAGAACTTTGAAAGTTTTACATACAGAAAGGTGTTGCTTTGTTTTATTCTATGATTATTTTCAGAGACAAAATGTTAGGACCATGCCATATTGAACACCCACCCACTCCTGCCACTTACTTTTTACACTAGGGAGTTAATGAATCTTAGCAATAGTTTCTTTCAGTTGTTACTCCCATTTATATAAAGTCTTGACTGATTGGTAATTCATGGCTCTATGTAATTTCCGGTCAGACTTTTCACAGAGGATTCATATAGAGAGGGAGAAAAACTAAAAAGATTAGAAAGGCAGGTTGAGGCCAGACTCTGAAAGATCTTGCAAGCTGAACTACTTTAGTTGCTTTTAGCAGGAAACTAATTTGATTTATTTTTATTTTATACACCATTCCCAGATGGTAGAGCATAGTGAGGGAAGATTATAGACTGAAAGATCATTTAGTTTACTATTAAATCAAAATGGTAAATATCTGATTAGATTCTTGTAGCCATACAGATTAAAAAAAAAAAAAAAAAAAAAAAAAAAGAGGACTAACAAAGAAATGTCAGAGAACCAAACGAGGGAGTAGAATCCTAAGTTTCTGTAGCACTTCATTTCCCTTATTCCACTTTTCACCTACCTCTACTGTTAATAAAAGCATGTTTATGTACCTCCTCCTCAGTTACAGTATTAATTTCTCTAAGGCAGAGCATGCATAATTGTGTATTCACTAACATATACATTCAAATATGAATATAGAATGTTTCATTTTTTAATTGCTCAGAAAGTTTTTGTCAAAGGAATAGACATAAGGGAAGAAGAGAGAGTTAAGGACGAAGCCCTGATGAGGACATAAGAGAAGCTGATTGCCGAGTCAGTGGGCCAGGGAAAAACTGACATCCGAACTGCAGAAGGTATCCCAAAGTTCCGAGGGTGCCCTTGGACTTAGCAAGCTGAAGAAGTGAGACATCTCAGTATATCCAGCAAATTCTGTTTTTCATGACCTCAGTCACAAGCTGAAATGAATGTAATCATTTGTCCCAGTAAATTCAGCTAATTTAGTGAAGTTTTTAGGAACAGGTCTTCAGCTGCATCTCAAAGAAGGAAAAAAATGAAATCCTGCTGGGAATAGAGAATGCAACCTCCTATCTATTTTCTAAGAAACTTTAAAAATTCATTTAAAATTGATTCAAAATAATTGTGATTTAAATTCTACCTGTATAATATCATTTCAAGAAAATAAGGCACATTAAATAGAATGGTTTTTTAACATAATAATTTGTAACTGACAGTAACAAAGTCTTAATTTTCTTCTTTCAAGCCGAGGTTTTTCAGTCTTGTGATAGAACCTGGTTCTTCTTTGCTTTGTTTATGTTGGCCCCTGGTGTCTGTGTGTTCTGAATTGCAGGCTGTTGCTCTGAAGCAGAGCTAGAAAAGCCCAGAGACTTTTTTCCCACTCCACGATATCCACTGGATTACAGAGGAAGATTGGAATGTTCTTGGGTGCTCAGAGTTTCACCAAGCAGTATGGCAAAATTTACTGTTGAGTATCTGTCACTCCTGGGGTCTCCTGTGTGTCAAGACTCAGTTCTAATTATTTATGAAGAAAGATACAGTAAGAGGAAGATGGCAGGTAATCCTTCCTGGAATATAAACTTTGTGCTAGGCGTCTTGTCCATGTAGGCAGCTTATTATCAGGAATGAGTCTGACTTGGTAATAATGCTACCAAAATGTTGATCCATGTAATAGGAATGTAATAGGAATGCTTTTCTCCTTGCAAACACCCTTAACATTTTCTTTATTATTATTATTATTACAATACTTTAAGTTCTGGGTGACATGTGCAGAACATGCAGGTTTGTTACAAAGGTGTACACATGCCATGGTGGTTTGCTGCACCCATAAACCCGTCATCTACATTAGGTATTTCTCCTAATGCTATTCCTCCCCTACCCCCGCCATCCCCCGACAGGCCCTGGTGTGTGATGTTCCCCTCCCTGTGTCCATGTGTTCTCATTGTTCAACTCCCACTAATGAGTGAGAACATGCAGTGTTTGGTTTTCTGTTCTTGTGTTAGTTTGCTAAGAATGATGGTTTCCAGCTTCATCCATGTCCCTGTAAAGAACATAAACTCATCCGTTTTTATGGCTGTATAGTATAACATGGTGTATATGTGCCACATTTTCTTTATCCAGTGTATCATTGATGGGCATTTGGGTTGGTTCCAAGTCTTTGCTATTGTGAACAGTGCTGCAATAAACATGTGTGTGCATGTGTCTTTATAGTAGCATGATTTATAATCCTTTGGGTATATACCCAGTAATGGGATCGCTAGGTCAAAAGGTATTTCTGGTTCTAGATCCTTGAGGAATCGCCACACTATCTTCCACAATGGTTAAACTAATTTACACTCCTACCAACAGTGTAAAAGCATTTCTATTTATCCACATCCTCTCCAGCATCTGTTGTTTCCTGACTTTTTAATAATCGCCATTCTATCTGGCATGAGATGGTATCTCATTGTGGTTTTGATTTGCATTTCTCTAATGACTAGTGATGGATGAGCTTTTTTTCATATATTTGTTGGTCACATAAATGTCTTCTTTTGAGAAGTATCTGTTCATATCCTTTGCCCACTTTTTGATGGGATTGTTTTTTTCTTGTAAATTTGTTTAAATTCCTTATAGATTCTGGATATTATCCCTTTGTCAGATGGATAGATTGCAAAAATTTTCTCCCATTCTGTAGGTTGCCTGTTCACTCTGATGATAGTTTCTTTTGCTATGCAGAAGCTCTTTAGTTTAATTAGATCCTATTTGTCAATTTTGACTTTTGTTGCCATTGCTTTTGGTGTTTTAGTCATGAAGTTTTTGCCCATGCCTATGTCCTGAATGGTATTGCCTAGGTTTTCTTCTAGGGTTTTTGTGGTTTTAGGTCTTATGTTTAAGTCTTTCATCCATCTTGAGTTAATTTTTGTATAAGGCGTAAGGAAGGGGTTCAGTTTCAGTTTTCTGCATATGGCTAGCCAGTTTTCCCAAAGCCATGTATTTTGTAGGGAATCCTTTCCTCATTGCTTGTTTTTGTCAGAGTTGTCAAAGATCAGATGGTTGTAGATGTGTGTCATTATTTCTGAGGCCTCTGTTCTGGTCCATTGATCTATGTATCTGTTTTGGTACCAGTACCATGCTGTTCTGGTTACTGTAGCCTTGCAGTACAGTTTGAAATCAGGTAGTGTGATGCCTCCAGCTTTGTTCTTTTTGCTTAGGATTGTCTTGGCTATACAGGCTCATTTTTCAAAAGCATTTCTATACACCAATGACAGACAAACAGCCAAATCATGAGTGAACTCTCATTCACAACTGCTGTAAAGATAATAAAATACCTAGGAATACAACTTACAAGGGATGTGAAGGACCTCTTCAAGAAGAACTACAAACCACTACTCAAGGAAATAAGAGAGGACACAAACAAGTGGAAAAACTTCCATGCTCATGGATGGGAAGAATCAATATCATGAAAATGGCCATACTGCCCAAAGTAATTTGGAGATTCAATGCCATCCCCATCAAGCTGCCACTGGCTTTCTTCACAGAATTAGGAAAAATAAAAATAAAAATAAAAAAACCCTCAACATTTTCAAGTACTTTGAATTGAGATAGCAAATAGGCTTAAGGTTGAGAGAGAGAGAGAGAGAGAGAGAGAGAGAGTGTGTGTGTGTGTGTGTGTGTGTGTGTGTGTGTGTGTGTGTGTGTGTAGGGAGGAGGAAAAAAGGCAAGAGGGCTCAACTTCTTCAAACAGTGGAACCATGCCAGAATGCTGGAAGAATATATATTGTAAAAGAGCAAGTCAGAAGATGGTTAAAAATAGAGCAGGAGAGGAAGGTGAATGAAAAAATAAAGCAAAAATACATTAAAGGCTTTTAAAGTGGCAGGATTGAAAAGATCTGCTGAAAACATGCCAGCACTCATTTTTCATTTCATGCACAGAGAAACCTGTTTTTGTTCAACAAAACAAACTTGCCTCCTCCTGTTTGCACACATGTAATGAAAGCTTTTTGGCTCTCAGTAAGGAGGAAGGTGGGAGGTGATTGAAATAATTTGGTTAATGGGGAAATCTGGAAAGAAAATAAGTTTGTGTATGTCATTGACCACGTGTGTGGCATCTATTTGTGCTTGATTCCAAAGTGCGTAGAGGCCGGGGAAACTGCAGCGAGGGTGGCATTGTTTTCTTAGGACAAACTCTGAGAGATTAAATCACTGGGTTAGAAAGCAAAAATGTTTGCTTAAAGAATCTTTCTTTATAAGTACAATCTAATTTAGATGACGGTGACACAATTAATTAGCCTATCTGCTTGGCACATTTTCCCCCTAGAATCACCTCCTCCATCCCCCTTGATTAGAACAGTTCCAGGGCTTCTTGCAGCGAGAATAAAATTCACACTCCCTGGAAGACTCCCTCTCTGTCAGCTCATGGGTTCCCAATACCTCTCATTCTCACCCTGGGACCATTGTCTGTCTATTCCCAGCACTTTAAAGAGCTCCTTCTCATCCTTGTGCCTCATGTCCTTCAATTCTTGATGGAATGTCACCTTCTTAATGAGACCAACCTTGACTGATGTAAGTTGCATCACGCCCCTGCCTCCAGACTTCTCAGTTCCCTTTTCTTAGAGCACTTATTATCTTTTGACACAAGGGTCTCCAACCCTCCAACCTCCGGGCCGCAGACCAGTACCAACTCGTGGTCTGTTAGGAACTGGGCCACACAGCAGGAGGTGAACAACGGGCAAGCATTACCACCTGAGCTCCACCTCCTGTTAGATCAGTGGCAGCATTAGATTCTCGTAGGAATGTGAACTGCACATGCAAAGGATCTAGGATGCCTGCTCCTTATGAGAATCTAATGCCCGATGATCTGAGATGGAACAGTTTCATCCCAAAACCATCCCTCCCACTGTTTGTGGAAAAATTGTCTCCCACGAACCTGGTCCCTGGTGCCAAAAAGTTTGAAGTCTGGGGTTAAAAGATTAGAATCTAACACATTATACTTTTTTTTCATGATTATGGCTTATCTGTGTCTTCCCAATTGAGTATGAGTTTCATGAGAGCTGGAATTTTTGCCTGTTTGGATCAAGAAGCCTCAGTGCCTAGAACAGTGCCCGACATGTAGAAGACACTTCATAAATAAGTGAACAAGAGAATAGTCACCTCCTCAAAGAGGGCCTCTCAGTCTAAAGTAGCATCATCCATTCCTTCCCACAGTCATTGTCTGTTACGTTGGCTTTCATTTCATCTTTGATCTCTCTATGAAACCATCTTCATTTACCTGACTAAAATGAAAGCTTCGTGAGAGCAGAGACCTTGCTCTCTGTTCCCTTCTGTATACTTCCAATGAGGTCAACACCTAGGGACTCGAAACGTTTTCTTTTTCATGAAGTTTTGCTGAGTTTGTTTTTTTCATGAAGATTTGTTAAATTACTCTTCAGAAAGGCTAACTTAATTTTCACGGTCATTAGCAGTGCCTAGGATCTTCTTTCACCATGCCCAGAACCTAATATGTCAATTTAATGGGCAATTGTCCTTTAAAAATAATCATTAATGGAGATAATTTCCTTTTTGCTTTTATTTTTCTTTGTTTTAAGACTATGTCTCCCTATTTTGCCCAGGCTGACCTCAAACTCCTGGGTTCAAAAGATCTTCCTAGTTCAGCCTCCCAAACACCTGGCATGTGCTACTGGACCCAGCTTGTTTGTTTAAAAATTAATTGCCATTGTCTTTTGTACATTTTAAAAATTTCAGTATTATTCCTTTTATTGCTTTATGAACTTTATATAAAAGATATTTTTTCTTGATCACATCTATTCTTAATGCTGATTCTTAATGTTGTCATAAGTTTATTCTTAATGCTTTCCTTTGTCATAATTTATTCTTAATGCTTATTCTTAGTATTGCCATTTGCTTTTGTATTATTTATTATGTTAATGTAAATTTTTAAAAATTTAGTTGTTTATCCATACATGTCTTTGATCTTTGGTTTTTATCTCATTACTTTCATGCTTAAAAATTTATTCCCCATTCTGAGGTCAGAATGTTTAATTTAAAAAAAAACTTACAAAATCATGCTGAAATATATTTTCTCATATGGTAAAGTGACTCTATAGCTGCTTTCTTTTTAAAAAGTCTTTTTCTTCCGAATTGATAGCACTATTTCTATAATATACTATATTCTTACACAGAGAGACACATTTTCTGGGGAAACTTGCCTTTATCATTACTGCCTATTGAAAACCATGCTTGACTTCATTGTAGATTACCTGAGGAATCCCTTTAATTTTCCAACCTAGCATTTCTTTAATTTTTGAAATTGTCAGCTTGAACTTTGTGGAATTGTTCTGTCCCTTCAGATTACATCTAGGAGAATAGCAAGCCTGTAATGGAAATATTATTCTTTACTTAAATTATATAGCATTCTTTACTGTAAAATGCTGTTTCTCCCTGTTAAAGGTAGCAATTCATTTAAAAGTTACATTCACTTCTATTTACTACAAAGAAATATTAGGTCATTCTTCAAATAGCATTTCACCATTGTATACATTAAAATGCCAATGAATGTTTTTCTTCTTTTCTCTTTCTTGGCTCTTATCCTTTCATCCTACAAGTATTTGTGAAGCACCTACTATTAGCCAGGGACTGAGTCATCTTGGTTCTGAGGATTCAGTAGTGAAAGAAATAAAATTTTCTGCCCCTATCAAGCTTATATTCTAGCAGGGAGAAGACACATAATAAGATAAAATATAAGGCATCTTAGATGGAAGAACTAAGGAAGAAAAAATAAAGTGGGAAAGGAGAAAAGAAGTATCTGGGATGTAGGTGCCATATGGTTGTATGTAGTACAATCAGCAGATGTCTTTCTGAGCAGGTGAATTTAAATAAATGTTACAAAGTGATACTGAATTATTCTTAATGTAGAAGAGTTTGATCCTAAGAAATTCACAGGTTCTTTCCACACATGCTTAATCAGCCCTCTGAATCATTTCAGAATTATGATTATAATTTTCCCTTCTATCTTTGACTTAGGTTCTCAAAGCAATCAATAAAAGACTGACTATAGGGAAATAATGCATTTTCAAGTAGAAAATGTTTTCCATCATAGATCTTCATGGTGAGGTATTTTTAATAAGTAGGTTACTTTTCTCAGAGAAAAAGGTCATATCAGTCATTTTAGAGATAAAATAATTTGCTACCTACTGTCCTTCAGGAAGCACTGCAACAAAGTAGATAATGATGGATATTAAATACATGGACCCAAGTTGAAGATCCTAACTTCCCACCCCACTAGTTTGTGATGCTGAGTGAGTCACTTGTGTTCTGGAATCCTGTTTCCTCGTTTTACAAAATGGAATCAATTCCTACCTCGTGGGTTAAATTAATTGCTCTGCCTAAAATATAGAAACTGCTGTAAAATTGTCATTCTTATTTTTTCACTAGAGTTCACTTTTTAACCTAGGTGGATTACATGGGAGAAGACTTTACTCAATGACTTTCATGAGTCCTGGACCCCTGGTGAGGGTGACATTCCAGTCCTTTGTTCAAGGTGCATTTGGCATCAGCTATATAGTCTTGAAAGTCCTAGGTATGTCTGGTTATTTTATAAACTTGTAAAGGCTAAAAAAAATCAATATTACTCTATTTAGGAATATTTCAAAACATACACAGCATTTTGAAAGAAATTATGTTTCTGTGGGGAAATCAGTATATGTTTGAAAGGAAAATCTACTTAAGTCACCTAAGATTTGATCAGGTCCAAAAGGGAAACTGCTCAAATAGAGAACTTGATTGAATTGTATATGATTTCTGAAAATGGCTAAGATATGTTGGTTGCAAGATAACTTTTGTCTGTGGCTGCAGTTTTATACCACAAAGAATGGTTTCTGCAGCCGTAATGCTTGTGACTCAGAAGATTTGGTTTCTAAATCTTAGCTGGTTGATTAGCTATGGACAATTTATTATCTCTGATTAGAATTTTCTTTGTAATGATATAATAAAAAATTAGAATAAGTTTTGAAAACAAACTACACAAATATTATATTCTAGCATTGTAAGTGTAAACGATGTAATTCAGAGTTGTCAGATTGAACTTTAGAACATGTAATTGGTGAGGTTCTTTTCTTCTTGATATAGACAACTGAAAGCTAGCTTCCCCCCTTGGCACCTAAAAGCATTGCTGAGAATATATTTTTCTAGACCTGTGTATACTGCATATTTGGAAAAAGTTAAACGAGTAATAAAGCATTTATATCATATGAAAGTTTTCTCTTGGAAGAATATATTAAGAATACTGCTTTTAGATGGAATTAGGCAGTTAACAGGCATTATCCATAGCTGTGTCCTGTAATCTTCCATAGACCCTAGGCTATGTCAGAGATCATTCTGAGAGATGTGCTTGTTTCCTGTACCTTTTGAGTATTTAAGATGGAGAAAATTTTCAGTGAAACCAACCACCTCCTAATAATTACTTGTTTTCCCAGGACAATTAGGGAAGAGAGCTGTTTACCTTAATCTGAAAAGGCATATAGGAAGCCTGTTAAACATTGGTTTTATTCTCATTTTCTCTGCTTCCTATTCTTCTAGGTCCAAAGGACAGTAAAATAACCAGACTTTCCCAAAGTTCAAACAGAGAGCACTTGGTCCCTTGTGAGGATATTCTTCTGATCAAGCCAGACGGGATCATGCAGATCCCAAGAAATTCTCACAGAACTACTATGAGGTAAGGAAGGAATGATTATTATAATGGAAGAAGTGTGTGGAAAAAATGGCTTGACTGACATCAACACTTGGTATTTACTTAAAACATTATTCTTCACCTCTTTTCCATAAAGAATACACTCTTAGGTAACCCCTAATCTATGGCCTTTAATATGGAAACAAAACAAAACAATGTAAGAATGTTCTTGTTTATGAATTGTACTTTCTCAACAAAATAGACCATGTATTAGCAAAGTGAAAAGTCAAATCTCTACAAAGAATGTTGGAGGCTGATATAATGTATGTAAACTATTTGGGCACATAGTAGATACTTAATAAATGATGCTTGGGAGTTTGGGGCAAATTCTGGCATATGTACATCCTTCAGATCTTGTAAATTTTCAATCAGAATTTAAAACAATACCCACAATTGGTCAACCATTCACCATAACGTGTGAACTTTACAAATTTTGGCAAATTAGGTATTAGATAATAAATTTAATATAATTTAAAGTACAAATCTTTCTCTCTCACAACCGTAAGGAAACAGACACAAAAACTAAGGCTCACTGGGGGTCAATAACATTGATGCATTAATTTCTGAGGAAAATAACTAACAATATATTCTGTTTAGAAATAATTTCTGACTTTGTTTCATCTGTGCCATAGTTGCCAGTGGAGGTTAGTAGCCCCTTTAAATCACATCATTCAGCTTAATATTATCAACTTCCCGATGAAGCCAACAACTTTGGTCTGTCATGGTCATCTGCATGTTTATGAAGGATTTGGACCAGGAAAAAAATTAATAGGTAACTGGTTTCCCATGAATCACTATGCTACTGATTTTCTCTTATGAAACATGTTTAGATTGTTTTATATTCAATATGTGGCTTACATGTGACATACACTAGTCTCCTCTTATAGGATGTTGAAATAGACCTACTGTTTAACTTTTGTCAGATTTAAAATTAAGATATAAAATCTCAAGTTTAGTTAAAAACAAAGTCCAACAACGTTTCTTACATGGATCACACCTAGATTAAATTTGCTCAGAAATAGTAAAAGTAAAGAATGAATGAAGTAGTTTTAGACAAAAACACAAGAAAATTAAGACTATAAAATTAATAAGGCAAAATAATCACAGCAAAAGGCATTACATGAGTTTATCAATTGGTAGTAGTTAGAAACCTGGTTACTGTGATTTAAACTCATTATTTTCAAAGAGAAATGTAGGCACACTGCTAGTTCAACAGTTGAACTCCACCAGCACTAAAGGTACTTCAATTATTTTGGCTTTTCCTGATGGTTGCATAATGGCTATTTCAGTTCTCATCATTACATTGATGAAAGAAGGGACAGGGAGGATTATCCCTATCAGGAAAGCAAACGTGTTTCCAAGAATCCTGTAGCAGACTTAAATCTCTGGCCAGAATTGTCACATGGCCATGCCTGACCAGAGGGTGACTAGAGAGAAGGGAAATGGAAAAGCATTTTGGGTGGTCAACCAAAATTTCTGGACACCATGGGATATAGAAGTCCACAGTTCTGAAATCTGATGGTTCTGGGTCCATATCTCTGCTCTACCACATACTAGTTAAGTGACTTTGGGAATGATCTCAAATCTTTCTAAGACTCAGTTTCCTCATTTGTGAGAGGAGACACCCCACCACCATGCACACTATGGTCTATGAATTCCCAGTTTACTTAATCAAGAAATAAATGTGTAATTAAGTAAACGCCCAGCAAAAGAGGATGTATGGCTTTTTGCTGGCTTTTGCCTTCCTAAGAAGGGCCCAGATACAGGTGTCACTCTCCATGCAGGTAGGGTCCTCTCAGAGTGGATAAAAAAGTCAATTGCTAAACCACTATCTTTTTTATTCTTCAGATTTACAATACTATCCTAGAAGTAAGTGCACTAAGAATATTTCTGTTTCTATTTAGGAGAATGTTGATGAGCACCGAGCTTTCTTGGTTCCAAAGCCAATTCAGCACTAAGAAGACCACAGCTTCTTGTGGGGAGACTGCAGCATCTACGAAAATGATGTATACTTCTACCGTTCTTGCCTTACAGAACACCTGTTACCATGCACTGCCTCATGAGGTTGTTTTGAGAATTAAATAAGAGAAGGCATGTTAATCAACACTAAGAAACCAAGCTTGTGTTTTGTTTGGATTAGAAATATTTATTCTGATTCCTGTTCTTAAAATTGTGCTGCTTAGAGGAAAAGTTTAGATTGTCTCCCTATTGCCTCTTCTATGGGTGACAGGGCAAAAAGATTGGAAAAACAAAGAAATAAAGAAGGGGACAGGGAAGGAAGAGTACATTAGGAATGTCAGTTATCACTTACAATGTTAATCAATTATATATCTGTTTTTTACTTAGAACTAGTTCACAAAACATACTATTTTCTATTTCCTTCTCCCCAAAAGTTTTATGACTCTTTTTCAATTTCTCTAAGTAGGGTTTACAAGCTCTGTGGTATAGGGAAGGAAAAAATATTTCTCTTCTACCCATCTATCCAGAGGAACAAATCCTGTGATCAGAAGTTTAGAACTTATAGCCCAACCTCTGGCTAGGGGAGAGGGACTGGAAATGGACTTAATCAGCAATTGTCAACGATGTGATTGATCATGTCTATGTAATGAAGCCCTCATAAAACCCCCAAAGGAGAGTTCAGAAAGTTGGGTTGGTGAACACATGGAGGGTGCTGGGAGGATGGTATACCCAGAAAGAACAGTGAAGCTCTGTGCCCAGACTCCATATCTTGCCATGTACATCTTTTATTTGACTGTTCCTGAACTATATCATTTGTAATAAGTAGGTAAACACAAATAAAGTGTTTCCCTGAATTTTGTGAGTTGTTTTAGTAAATTGTCAAACCTGAGGAGGGGATCATGGGAACCTCTGATTTATTGCTGGGCAGTCAGTAGCACATGTGACAACCTGTACTTGCAATTGGCATCTGAACTGGGGAGTGAGGACAGTCTTGTGAAACTGAGCTCTTAACCTGTGCAGTCCATGCTAACCCAAGGTAGATAAGAATGGAATTGAATTGTAAGATACCCAGTTGTCGTGGGAGGGAAAAATCCCATACATCTAGTGTGAGAAGTGAAGTACCGAGAGTAGCAGTAGTTGTAGGAGAGAGAGAGATTTTTCTTTTAGTTCGTGTAGAGAAGTTTTGGTTTTGTTTTGTGTTTTGTTTTTTGTTTTTTGTTTTGTTTCTCAGACTATCTTAGCTTCATTGGCTGGAACTCTGGCAATGATACTGACAAAAGACAAAAAGAGAAAAACTGAATTTTCTTAACACACATATCATGCATATATGGGAAAATTCAGTGGTGAGTAACTCAAAGAGGTGATTAGAACTTGGGCTTACATAACATTTTAACAAAAGAACAATAAATAAGAGAAGTGACAAAGGAAAAGGACTTTGAGCTTCTAAAGGCAAAGACCTTGAGCTTCTAGGGGTGGCATATTGTAGGAAGGTGAATATATTGGGGACAGTTGTAGAAAACTAAGGTTTCTTTAGAAAGATTTGTTATGTAGATTCTTCTGGTGTCGTCTCTGGGCTGATAAGAGTCTAGATTTGTCTCTAAGAATCGTTCTGCCTTTCCTCGTGGAGAGAGTGGGAGGGCAGAGAGTTTTTCTTCTGTCTACATTTTTTTTTCAATTGCTTTCTGCTGAAAATAATCCTCGTGCCAGGGTGGTATACTCTCAACCGTCTCTGGGCTAAGTCAGTGCTTGACCTCAGCAGATTATTTGATGAACATTTGACAGAACCAAATAGGATTTATCCCAAGAACACAAGGAAAATTGAATGTTAAAATGTATTGTATATTAAGATTTTCTACTATAAATTAGAAAAAATAGATACAAATTATATAGCAATTGTAATCTTAAAACCATAGCAGTAAAATGTAGAAGATATAAGGGGAAAATTACTTCAATTACATTTAGCAATAAAAGCCATACGATAACTAGGAATAACCTTAAATTTGAGATTTATTGTTCAAACTATGAAAGTTTATTAAGTTGCAGGTGTGGGCACACAAATACATACAAACACACAAACATTTGCATAGATAAAAGTACCATGTTCCAAAACTGAAAGACATAACTCATTAAGTCAACACAAATTAATTTAAAAATATATTTTCCAACTAAATCTCAATGGAATTTTTTTTCTGGAAGGATGAAGAGGAAATTAAACAACTCCAAAATTTATCCTGTAAAATAAATAGCACTAGCTGAAAATATCTTGGGGAAAGAATGACCAAATGTTTAAGGTAGAATTGCTCTATCAGATATTTAAAGTATATTTTAAAACAATGGTAATTAAAACTCTCAGAAGAAACAAGGGATTGAAAATAGACTAGAAGGGGCCCTAGAAAATATAAGACCACTGTATATGGTTTATTTGGAATTACCACTCAGCAAATGTATAAAATTATTCTTCACATCACACAATAGCTGATAAAGGAGTTAGTTTTCATAAGGCATTAAAATTGGAAAATATTGGTAGTTAGCCATATGGAGAAGGACTTTCTCATATAGATATAGAAGTAGTAGAAGAAAACAAATTAATAAGTTCTTATGTAATTAAAAACTCTTTTGCATCCACAGAAACAAAACTAAAAAGCAAATACATGGGATTTTCAACTATGCTGAGAAAAGTCTGAAGTAATTTATTTAAGAAGTGTTTACAGATCAATAATAGAAAAGCTAAGATCTGTAAAATAAATTTATAGGACCTAGACAACTTTGACTTAGTCTTGATTAAAGTTAAACCACAGATCCTGTGCCTTCTGTTTTCCACTTACTTTTTGAAAGAATGACACACTGTTGACCCAAGTGCTTTTGAGAACACAAAACATAGGATTAACCATTAGCCTCTTTTGATAGATAAGAAAGGTTACTGATATTTACATACCAGTTACTACACAATCTAAATTAAATCTCTTGTTTCTTGTCACAATGAAATTGGTCCTCTGGCCATCTCTTTACTAAAGAGGGCAGAGTTTTCCTGTAATCATGGAAAGCCTACTAGTTCTTAGGATCCTTGATTTGAAACCTTGAAAACTATGAGTGTTATAGCAAACTACATTTACTAGACTGTTTGTTTCAGAAAATATTGTGTAAGATCAGTTAAACTTAGAGATGGTTTTGAAGTGAATTATCACTCTGATGATAATTAACCCATGACTATGACCATCTTGATCTACCTCTAGTTAAGTATAAAACACTGAGGGATTTTCTTTAGAATTGGAGGATTCATAATACTAAAAAAAAATTAAGTACAATAAATAAGAGTCTAACCAATTTCAAATGACAATTCAGAATCACTGTTTTCCATGACATACCCTAATTTTAAAAATGACAAAAGGTGAAGTCGGCTGGGCTTCTGGATCGGGTGGGGACTTGGAGAACTTTTTTTGTCTAGTTAACAGATTGTAAACATGCCAATCAGCACTCTGTGTCTAGCTAAAGATTTGTAAGTGCACTAATCAGTACTCTGTAAAAACGAACCCATCAGTGTTCTGTGTCTAGATAAAGGTTTGTAAACGCACCAATCAGCACTCTGTATAAATGGACCAATCAGCACTCTGTAAAATGGACCAATCAGTAGGACATGGGCAGGGCCAAATAAGGGAATAAAAGCTGGCCACCCAAGACAGCAGCAGCAACCCATTCAAGTCCCCTTCCACACTGGAAGCTTTGTTCTTTCGCTCTTCACAATAAATCTTGCTGCTGCTCACTCTTTGGGTCTGCACTAGCTTTATGAGCTGTAACACTCACCTCAAGGGTCTGTGGCTTCACTCCTGAAGTCAGCAAGACCACGAACCCACCTGGAGGAAGAAACAACTCTGGATGTGCCACCTTTAAAAGTTGTAACAATCACTGTGAAGGTCTGCAGCTTCACTCCTGAAGTCAGCAAGACCACTAACCCACCAGAATGAGAAACTCTGAACACATCTGAACATCTGAAGGAACAAACTCTGGACACACCATCTTTAAGAGCTGTAACACTCATTGTGAGCATCTGCGGCTTCATTCTTGAAGTCAGCGAGACCAAGAACCCACTAGAAGGAAAAAATTCAGGACACGTTTTGGCAACCCAGATGGGACTATCACCAAGTGGTAAGTACCATCAGACCCCTTTCGCTTGCTGTTCTGTCCTATTTTTTCCTTAGAATTCAGAGGCTAAATACTGGGCACCTGTCAGCCAGTTAAAAGTGATTATTGTGACCACTAGACTAAAGACACAGGTGTCAGGCTTTCTGGGAAAGGGCTCTCTAACAACCCCCGACTCTTCGGAGTTGGGAGCATCGGTTTCCCTGGAACCAGCTTCTGCTTTTCCTGTATTTCTGGGCTGAGCCGAGGGTCAACAGAGAGGAAAGCCATTCAGTTCCAGGGTCCTGACAACAAGTTGGTTGACCCTGTGGCCACGAGTGGAACTCAAAGTCATATTGTCCAAGTGAGACTCGCCCATCTATCCTATCTATGCTGACCCTTGCCTCCTGGGTCCTAATGCCTGTCAGACAAACTTCCTCTCACCTCTCTTCTCTGAGGCTAGTCCCGCTTCTAAAAACCACTCCCTGACTCTGGTGCTTTTCCAGTTTCTCCTATAAGAATGATTTCTAGTATAAACTTCAGTACTCTGTTACCTTCTTTAGGCCCCCCGGCGCACCAGTCAGAAAGACATAATTTTTGCCCAAAGCCCCGTCAGTGGGAGGGTACTACCTGGAATTTTAGGATCTCAGACAAGCAGGCCTAAAAAAAGCTATTCCTGAAGCTAGGATATGGTAGCCTCAAAAATTGTATCCTTCCTATTCATATAAGTGAGGACAAAAGGCATCACTTTTCAAACTCTGGAGATCCCTCCCCTCCATCAGGATATTGCTCTCCACTTCATTTTTGGGGCATAACATCTTTAAGTCCCAATACTAACAGGAGAATCCTTAGGACTGTAACATATTTTCAAGAATGTGTCAGTAAGGGCCACTAAATCTGATTTTTCTCGGTCCTCCTTGTGGTCTAGGAGGACAGGCAAGGGTGCAGGTTTTTGAAAATGCATTGGTAAGGGCCACTAAATCCGACCTTTCTCAGTCCTCCTTGTGGTCTAGGAGGAAAACTAGTGTTTCTGCTGCTGCGTCGGTGAGTGCAACTATTCCCGTCAGCAGGGTCCAGGGACCTTTACAGGTTCTTGGGCAAGAAGTGTTTCTGCTGCTGCATCGGTGAGCACAACTATTCCAATCAGCAGGGTCCAGGGACCGTTGTGGGTTCTTGGGCAGGGGGAAAAACAAACAAACCAAAACTGCAGGTGGTTTTGTCTTTCAGATGGGAAACACTCAGGCATCAACAGGCTCACCTTTGAAATGCATCCTAAGCCATTGGAACCAATTTGACCCACAAACCCTGAAAAAGAGGCAGCTCATTTTTTTCTGCACTATGGCCTGGCCCCAATATTCTCTCTCTGATGGGGAAAAATGGCCACCTGAGGGAAGTATGATTTACAATACTATCCTGCAGCTTGACCTTTTCTGTAAGAGGGAAGGCAAATGGAGTGAAATGCCTTATGTCCAAGCTTTCTTTTCATTGAAGGAGAATACACAACTATGCAAAGCTTGCAATTTACATTCCACAGGAGGACCTCTCAGCTTACCCCCATATCCTAGCCTCCCTATAGCTCCCCTTCCTATTAATGATAAGCCTCCTCTAATCTCCCCCGCCCAAAAGGAAACAAGCAAAGAAATCTCCAAAAGAACCACAAAACTCCCTGGGTTACCAGTCATGTCCCCTTCAAGCTGTAGGGGGAAGGGAATTTGGCCTAACCTGGGTACATGTCCCCTTCTCCCTCTCTGATTTAAAACAGATCAAGGCAGACCTGGGGAAGCTTTCAGATGATCCTGATAGTTACATAGATGTCCTACAGGGTCTAGGGCAAACCTTTGATCTCACTTGGAGAGATGTCATGCTATTGTTAGATCAAACCCTAGGCTTTAATGAAAAGAATGTGGCTTTAACTGCAGCCTGAGGGTTTGGAGATACTTGGTATCTTAGTCAAGTAAATGATAGAATGACCGAAGAAAGGGACAAATTCCCTACCAGTCAGCAAGCTGTCCTTAGTATGAATCCCCACTGGGACCTCGACTCAGATCATGGGTACTGGAGTCGTAAACATCTGTTGACCTGGGTTCTAGAAGGACTAAGGAGAATTAGGAAAAAGGCCATGAATTATTCAATGATGTCCACCATAACTCAGGGAAAGGAAGAAAATCCTTCTGCCTGCCTCGAGCAGCTATGGGAAGCCTTAAAAAAATACACTCCCCTGTCACCTGACTCACTCGAGGGTCAATTGATCCTAAAAGATAAGTTTATTACCCAATCAGCCACAGATATCAGAAGAAAGTTCCAAAAGTGAGCCCTGGGCCCAGAACAAAATCTGGAGGCATTATTAAACCTGGAAACCTTGGTGTTCTATAATAGGGACCAAGAGGAACAGGCCCAAAAGGGAAAGTGAGGTCAGAGAAAGGCCACAGCCTTAGTCATGGCCCTTAGACAAACAAACCTTGGTGGTTCAGTGAGGACAGAAAGTGGAGCAGGCCAATTGCCCGGTAGGGCTTGTTATCAGCGTGGTTTACAAGGATGCCTTACAAAAGATTGTCCAATGAGAAACAAGCTGCCCCCTCGTGCATGTCCACTATGCGGAGGCAATGAATGGAAGGTGCACTGCCCCAGAGGACAAAGGTTCTCTGGGCCAGGAGCCCCCAACCAGATGATCCAACAACAGAACTGAGGGTGCCTGGGGCAAGCGCCAGCTCATGTCATCACCCTCACTGAGCCCGGGGTACATTTAACCATTGAGGGCCAGGAAATTGACTTCCTCC